GGAGAGGGGAAAAACATGCTATGCTAATGGAATTCCATCTACATAGAAGGAAATAAGAATGAGAAATAATAATATTATTCTTTTCCCTGTTTCTCCTTCACCATGGAAAGGTTTTACTTTTGACTTTAATGTACTGTTTTTAATATGGTTGTTGAAGTATTCTAACAAGGACTTAGTGGTAATTAAAACTGTATCTCGGATCTCTTTAGACATTTTCTCCACGTGTAACTTGAATAAGAAAAATGGAGACACCTGGCTGTGTAAAGATTTGGTGACTATGGCTGTGTTCACATCATGCAAAAGTAGTTGGTTAATGAATTTGAGTCAGTTAAAATCCATCGAGTTGATGATGAAATCACATATCTTATTTGGCATCACGTAGAAATTGCAGTGTCTACATATGTAATGTCTGGAGCTTGGGAATTATGCAACTAGTTAAATCTCCTGAATCTTCTATTACTGAGAATAAAAAGAGCCCTAACCATTGAAAGCGTATTATCCAATAATATAAATAGCTATCCTTTAGCGAATGTTGATTGTGTGCTGGCATCATATTACACACTTACCTTGTTTAATTCTACTGCAATGATTATCATTCATTTTTCTGGCCTCATATCCATTCCCTCCCATCCTCTGATCCTCACAGTATCCCAAGGGACTGACTTCCGAAAATTAAATTTTCCAGGATCCCTGGCATCTGATTTCCTGTTAGATTGTGTCAATGGGAAGTAGTGCTGTGAGTCTGGGGTTGAGGGAGGGGAAAAGGGAGGGCATTTCTCCCCTCCCCACTTTAAGCGGTGCCTCTGGCAGTGCCTGTGTGTCCTTAGGGCTCAAGCTTCTGCAGCTCAGCCCATTTCCCTTTCTGATACAGCCTTAGAAGTGAGAGTGACTTCCCACTGGTGTAAACCTCTGAGTTGCCCACCATCCCCACTTTTGCTTTTGAACTCTTCTGATACCTTTGTAACTAGTTTCCCATATTAAATTCCTGTATTGAACTACCTGTCCTGGGCTCTCTTTTCCTGTCTGGACCTTGCCTGATACAAAGATAGAGACTGTCTTCATTGTATAGGTAGATTAACTGACTTGTACAAAATCACACAGCTAGTTTAAAAACACGCTTTCAAACCAATTGTGCCTCATTTCAAAGCCCAAGTACTTAAACTACTATGCTGTACCCAAATGATGCTCCGAATGAATAGCCACACAAATAGTTTTCATTAATTGCCTCTTCCTGTTATTTAGCTCAAATTGTCTGCATTATGGCACTAACTAGCTATTGTTAACATTTAATTGTCTATCTCTCCCAATAGCTTCTGAGACTTCTCGAGAGTAAGCACATATGTTATTCATCTTTGTATCCCCAGCACCAACTACTGTGCTTGGAATGTAGTAGAGTCTTAATAAATATTTGTGGAATGATTGAATAATAATTACTGCCATTGACAGAATAACTGTTTTATTCCAGCAACCATGCTTGGGGTCTAACGTAAATTTTATAACTCAGTCTTCATAACGATCTTGCAAGGTAGGCATAAATATTCCAACATCATAGATTAAAAAAAGGCCCAAAGAGTTCAAACAACTCACAATTAAACAACTAAACTAGGATTGGGTCCAGACTAACTGGGCTTCAAGGTCTGACGTTTGACTATATCTAACTGCCTCCCTACATCCATTAATGTGAATGAACAAATCCATAAATAAGTGGGTTGGGAAAAAATCCAAACATTTTATTGGATTTTCAGTTATTTCGGAAGCTTTATAAACAGATAAAGTTTTATCTCTATGAGAAAAAGGAGCAGCTCAGTATTTAGTTGCCATAATTAACTAAAGGAACATGTTTTTGTATCCAAAACTATGTCTGAGCAAGCAAAAGGAAGAGAAGAATTGGGATAATAATCTGAAGAAATGAAACAGTTTACGTTGCAAGTGTGGAAAACGTTGGCTACTCCCCTAACTATCTAATCATTCTCTAGAACGACTCGGTATGGGATGTAACACCAATGATATTCACAACCAGTTCTCCTACAGACTTAAAAGTCAGGTTTCAGCTTTACTTTTCCATGTCTTGGTCTACATCCAGAGTTAATCAGTACGTTATCCAGAGTAACAAGTAGGTATTTTTATTGCTAGATTGCTGATGAAGGTTTTTGCTGCCATTTCTGTGCATTCCTTTCTTTGGTTTGCATGGTGAAATCATATGCATGGGTAATAGTCCATGGCCCAGTCAAGTTTCTTCCCCGGTTTTGCCTAGAGTGATGCATTCCTCGTACCTCTCTGAATGTTACAAGCAAATAATACCTATATTTGTAAGGCTGATTTGCAGAATCCCTGATCTTATTTTTTCCTTTCTGATGACAATGAACTAATAGAAGTAAAATAATTTGGGAGGCATCAGACAAAAAGTCGTTGTTAATTCTACATGTTCTTCATCAGTCCTTGCTTGGTTTGGTATTGGTTGAAATTATTTCAGCTGGATATGGCTCAAGTGGCTGTTCTCTTCTTGCAGAGCTAGGGGCCGTTTGAAGATTCTAGAAATAAACAGTTTTCATAAGATTTTTGCTGGCGTGACTCCCTCTTTTTTTCCCAGGGAAAAGATATCCTTCTAAGTCTTCTTCACGTATGTACTACTAGTTTTGTCATGATAAAGCAAAGCCTTTATTTCATTAATTCGGTAGTATAGTATATTGTAAAATTAAATGGATGCATTTTCCAAAATGATTTATAGTAATAAAAAATCTATGTCTGTGTACATAACACTGGGGAAAGAGCGCAAACCAGACTACCTGTTTTGTAATAAATTGTATTGTCTTGTGACTGAGATATGTCATTAAAGACTGGCAACCAAGGGGTGTCAAAAACCCCAGGGCGTGACTGTCCAATGGATATAGAGTTTCGGTTGTGCAAGATGAAAAACTTGTAGAGATCCGCTAACTGAAAATGTTTGCATAGTTAACAATTCTGTAATGTATTTTACCACAATTTAAAAAAAAAAAAACCAAAAACCAGAGTTATGACCAGCAAACGTGGAAGAAACACAGTTATATTTGTGTGACAAAGCATACTGCATACCTGCTCCCATTTGAACGCCGAGAAGAAAGAGTTAGGGAAATAAGGTGATTCTCCACTCAATAATACTTCAGCAAGTCCTTTTCATTAGCAGTGATGACCGACGGGGATTTGTCAGTGACGCCGTGGTCCCAGGAGCAGAAGTCACGGTGTAAACAACAACGTGCTAACAAAAGGCTACTGTTCACATGGCTGGCACTTGCCCGGTTCTAGGATCTGAATAAACAACGCATGAATTCCCTGATTTGGGGTCAAAGTGCTCAGCAGTGATTGTGATATTAACTATTGGATTTCATGAATTTTGTTAAATAAACAGAATAGGTTTTATTCACTCTTTTATTTATTTTCCTCCATCGAAAATTTTAAAGTGTGTCTGAAAAGCTAAAATGTTTTCACTGTGTAAGTTGGCCAACGAGAGGAAATTTAGTGTTAATTGAATCATATTTAATTCTTTCCAAGTGCTTAGCTTCAAACACTACCTCTTACAATTGTTTATAAAACTTCTCTCAAGACAGTGAACACATTTGCAAACAAATCTTTAAGGTATGTTGATAAAACCTGCTCAAGATGGTTATATAGTGTCACAATGCATAGAAGGAACTGCAGACTTTCCCTATGTGGTGATTTTCTGTGTCGCTAATTGGACTTTCTATGTCCCATGGCTACATAGGGAAAATAGGCATTTAGAATAGCCACTGAAAAGAGTGAAGATAACTTTGACCTGGAAGAGGACTAAGTTCTCTCCCTCTCATTGTTTGATTGGGTGGGTGTATTGGGCTCAGATATTGGTATGGAGGGATGGAGGAAAAAAGATAAGGCAGCGAGATTAAGTTCTAAATCATGAGAAAGACGGAATGAGGGCAGTTGAAAGTTTAATGATAAAAGCAGATGTGTTAAAGATGAGAACCAAAGAATAGCAGTTCCCATTTTTTAAAAAATTATCCTATTCTATTGGTTTTTCCAAAGCTAGCATCATGTGCTTGCGCTATAGTTAAGGTGACTTGGTATTTTATGTGGGGGAGTTCCGTATGAGTTCGTTTGTACCGCCATTCGAATTGTCGAGAGTGTCTCTAACAATTTTCATCCATGACCTATCAATTTCACCCCTTACATACCAAACAATTTGTATTTGATTGTACACTGTCTCACTCTATTTCAATGAGTTTTATTTAAAAGTTTTACCTTTCCCTTGGGATCTGGGTCCAAATACCTTCCTCAGAGCCTTATTCTTCTCTAACTAGTTTATATCGTCTAGAGGACAGCTGGTCTGCCTTGCTCACTGCTGAAATCCTGTGCTTAGCACAATGACTGGCACACAACAGACTTAGGATAAGAAATTGTTGTATCCGTGAGAGAATGAGTAAAGAGAGCTAAGCTCATACATAATTGTTCAGTGGTTACTGCCTTAATCTGTGTAGGGTAGTGAGATTCAGCAGATTTATAGAGATACAGCAGTGAAGTTTTTAAAAATTAGTGCCATTCAGAATCACCTGTTAAATAAATTTTGTTCAGAGAATTTTAATAAATTAACACTGGGGACACTGTTAGATATCATTCTGGCAACTTGAAGTAGATTTACTAGAATAAATATTGTCAGAGTAAAACACTTTGGTTTTGGTCCAAAATGTTACCGTCGTTTCAAGACGCAAAATAGACAAAATATTTGACAAGGGGTAAGTAGAACTTAACAGAGTTCAAATCACCTTTTTGTTTTACATGTAAAAATGTGTGCCTATGTATTATACATGCATGTAGATACACATTTATTTATTTTATTGCATATGTAGACATAGAGATCTCCACTTACACGTGTGATCATCTTCTAAACCTCACATCTTAACTTGCAATGGTAGGATTGTTTTCCAGATCATAGAATTATTTGTTATTTCTACTTAGTCTATTTCCATGATTAAAATTCCACGTCTCCCCAGGTTTCTGTGAATCAGCAGTGCCCCAGAAAGTGTTTCCCTTCCTGAGACTCTGGGGAAGTCTTGGAACGCGAAGAACTTGGAGAGGGAGCCTGGCCAAACAGAGATTTTCGAGCCTTGGTAGGCTTGCTGAAGCAGATTTTTAGCACAAACACAAATCAAAGTCTGTGTGTTCTTAAAAGCAGCATTTTCATGTAAGTTCAAGGAGCTCACTTTGGTTCTATTTGTTTTGGCTGAAGAAATGAAAAGCTTTGTTTTAACCACGTGACTATTATTTTGAAAAGGGCACCAAAACAAATTATTCTCATATCTTTAATCTCACTAAAGAGTAACTAAAGTTATTTGATGTAACTTTTTCAATGGAAAATTAACAACTAAATCGCCTCTGTCATTATTTTCTACATCTGAATCAAAAGCTTCCCAGGTATTTTTTTTTTAATACAATGGATTCTGATTATCTTCTTCAGATTCAGTATTTTCTTCAAAAGAATGACGGCTTATGATTTTGTCAACAATTTAATAGATTTTTGTTTTATTAAAAGGATAGAACTAAGAAATATCAAGATTTAAAACATAAATACCTTGGAACGCTCAGGAGAGCAACATGGGAGACACTGAGGAAAGAACTGAGACTCATAAAATAAGATGTCTTTCCAAGTTGAAGGTATGGAATTTTTGTGTGTGGATATATGTGTATGTACCATATTTTTTTTAACTTAAATCTTGCAAAGTTGCTCCTATCTTTATGAAGTGATCTAACGTTAACGTCATACTAGCTGATATATTGATAATTTCTTGCTTTAATGAAGTTGGTTTGTAACTTAGGGGTGTGCCTAGATAGGGTGATTGATTCAGACAATTTGGTCAGAAATGGTTTTGAGAGACTGCAGTGGAAGACAGGATCTTAAAAATTTTCGGGCACACGTTAAGTTACAACAGGATTTATTTTCCCTGGATCAAAGGCTCACCCTTCTGGGGCTTCTAGGTCAGAGGAGTATGGGGGTCTCTTCTGGAAAATGGTTCACTGGACAGAAGTGCTTTGTGAATCTGTAAGCAATGGTTGCTTCACAATGACCCAGTAAAACTAATGTTTACTTCAAGATTTGGCAACACACCAATCATTCTCTATAAGAAAAATGCCCATTTTGTTAGCTGTTTCTGGTATTCTTGACTATTTCAGAGCCAATGCTTGTTGCATAGCTTCAAAGCAATTTTGGCTTAAAACAAACATCAATTTACTTTAAACCAAAGGCTTTGGATATTTCTTGATTTTACAGCTGGTGCCTGCAAATGATTTCCAAACTAAGACATTGCCACCAATTTTCGCTGTATTGAAAGTTTGTTTTCTCTTAACACATATGTAGGGAAAATCTACCCTTGTACACTAAAGTGGAGAATTATGATATAAATCTAGAAAACTATCGTTCCTAAAATGCCATGTTAATGATAAAAAAAATTCCCCTTACGTTATCCCTCAATTCTTGTGTCCTCCTAAAACTGAGTGGTTAAACATAAGGATTGAGGCCCAGGCTTCCTGGGTTCATATCTGAGTTCAGCTGCTTATTTGCTGTGTGACCTTGGACAAGTTGCTTAATCATTTTGTGCTTCAGTTTTCTCACCTGAAAATGGTAATAACAATACTTCTGCGCCATGGGATTGTTTTTCTTTTTCACAAATGCTTGGAACAATGACTGGAACATGGTAAACGTTCAATAAATAATAGCTATTTTTATTAATAGCACTTGTGGATAAAAGTCAAGTCAGGTGTTTATTTAGAAACGATTGATCTTAAATTTAATTTTTGATTACTTTGGAGTTTGGCAAGATGAGATACAGATGTGAACATTATGGCAAAATATTGCGAGCACAAGTTTATCATGTAAAAGTGAGAGACAATTACTTAATAATTGGTTAGATTTTTTCCCTTCTCTGAACTTAGAAATATGCTTGTTAAGCAAAATTCTTTAGAAGGCATCAAAGGATTGCCCTCAATGAATTTGTTTCAAACTCTGGGGCATTATTGTTAAAAGGTTGTAGAACTAGCTTTATAAATATAGGGGTTATTTTGCACCAGCCATGGGTCAGAATAGCTACTGGTTGTTTTCACTCTGTGAATAGAATCAAACAGTTCAGGCAACCCATCTAGGTGTTTTAGGAAAAGAACATTGGGGTCATGATTTATCTAGTTTCCTTTCTTAAAATGTTAAATAAAATAAAGTATTCTCCCAAATGTCATTTGTACTTTACTTGGTAGATCTTGCTTTTAAATATGAAGCCTGAATTTTAAAACCATTTGGAAATTATCGGCTCTCAATAATGTGCTCTGCAAAGATTTATAGTGTGAAGAAAGAGTTTCTATAAATGGTATTTACGATAAAAGGATGAATAGCTGGAGATGTAGCTATACTATCTTGTCAGACATATAACAGTTTTGACTCATATGGAACTTGATATGTATATTTCCCAGGTCTTTTTCACATAAATTTCTATTCAGATGTTCCCAAACTAATTGGTACAGCTAACTCTTGGCTTAGGTGTATTTAATCTTATTACATTCCATCTTACATTCAGCTTACTTTCAGCTCTGACCACTTCTTCAAGATGTTTTTGAATACTTATTCTGTCATTAATTTAGTAAACTTGTCTTGGGTGTCTATTATTTGTCAGGCACTTACTAGACACCAAAGATACAAAGGTAAATAATATACGGCTCCTATCTTTGAATTGCTCACAGTTTAGTGAGGGGAGAGGTTATAGGCATCCAAACACATAAATAAAGTGCACTAAGGGCTGTAATAAAGGCAGGCATATAGCAGTGTAGGAAGATAAGATGTGAGTGGTCAAGGCTACCTAGGGAGCAGAGAGCAGAGGAAGCCTCCACAATACAAATGATGGGAGAGTTGAGTTTTAAAAATTGAGTATATATTTAGCAGATACACAAAAGAAAGAAAAGTATCACAAACAGAAGACCATCCTGTAAAAGGCACTGCGATGGGAAATGGCATGGTGAATTAGAGGAACTATGAGTAGAACGTTACGTCTAGAGACAAGCAGCAGGAGCTGATACTGAGATATAGACAAGGTTTTGTTGGCCATCTAAAAAACAGGAGGTTTTGTTTATGGGAAGCCACTAAAATACTTTAACAAGTAGAATCATATGCCGACTATGCATTTTATTAATTCATTGGACAAAAATTTACTAAGCTCCAAATTAGTGGTGGTGCAGGTGGAAGGGAGGTTGGAGGTGGCCAAGGCTAGCAGAGACTAAAAAATGATTGCAATTGTCTCAGCTAAACTGTGCATACATTTGAAAGATTTCACCGTGAGTGATAATTAAAGCCATGGGAATAAGTGAGATTTCCTAGGGAGAGCATGTATAGCAAAAAGAGGAAAGGGTACAAGACTGAAGGGGTTGGCCAAAGAAAAGATTGAATAGAAAGAGTCTAGCAGATAGGCACAGATATATATATGCATGGAGGGAGGGAATTTCAGAGATATTAGGTAAACGGAGGACTGAGAAGAATCTATTGAATGCGGAAATCAGGAAGTTGTTTATGACTTTTTATGGAGTAGCTTCAAGAGAGGTCAGAGTGTCATAGACTGAAGGGTGAATGGAAGGTTAAATAGTGTAGGCAATGAATCTAGACTATTCTTCCAAACAGCTTGATGGTAGCTGGACCTACCACCAGTGATGAGCGAAGATATTTGTTTTTAAAAGACAGAAATACTTTGAATATATTTATAAGTTAGTGAGGAGAGACGCAGTAAAGAGCACGAGGTTAAAAACAGAGGAGTGGGGGCACTAATTGATGAATCAGGATCTCACAAGTGGGAAGAATGGATTCAAGAGTGTGGGTGGAAGGATTTTATTGTACAGGAGAAGGGACAGCCATCCTTCTAAGAAATTCGAGGGAGGGATAGAGGTGAGCTTGAAGATGAAGTTGCTGAGAGCATTTGCTGGTCAAGAAGAGCACGTGGCTGGGCTGGAAACAGAGGAAAAGACAAGGTTTGAATCATCTTGAAGGGAATGTACAAGGTGCAATATGAACTGTGGGGTTGGTTCAAAGTTGGGAGTGTGGAACGTGGAGGGATGAGGATTTTAGTGGTTTGAGTGTGCTGGCTACAGAGTGGATCAAATGGTCTCCCAGGATAGAAGCATCATCAGGAAAATCTAAGCTAAGTAGGGCCAAGGGAAAAGCCCTATGGCATAGGATTGGAGACCACCATTCAGGCTGATATAAATCTATTTATCTATAATTCGTTGATTTTGAAGCAGCAATTAATCTACTTAACTATAACATTACTCAGTATGTAATGTTCCTTTTTCAAATCTCTTACTAAAATCTGTCTTCTTCTTTCTGATTTAATAAAACTATAAAAGTTTTAACTTTTCACATTTTTAGTAAAACCATGCTAGCTTCTGCTGATCACGATAGTTCTATTTGTTAAGTTGTCCTTGATTTTCATCATGGATTGTATCAACCTGACTGCTCTCTGGAACTCTATCAATACATAGGAAATGTGATTCAATATGTGGAAATTTATTGTATTCATATTTGTTTATCATAGCAAGTACTTATTCTGTTTAGAAACATTTCATAATGGTTTGTAATTAAAATATTGCTTTAAATAAATTAAGTGGCTGTGAGTAGCAATCTAATGTTGTATAATTTGCCTATTACTTTGTATAAAAGAAACCTTGAGCAAATTTGCTACAGAAATAATGTCTTTGGGTAATGCTACATTCTTTTTTTCATTAACATATATGTATTCTTTTGCATTACAGATAGCATCGTAGTGCTGAAGTTCTGTTTAAATCATTTACTGTCTTATTTAGAATGACGATTAGTTTCTATGTACACACAAAATGTACCTATAAAATAATGAGGCTACAGTTACCTACACAATTCAGTATTAGTAATCAACTAGTCCCACTTTGAGTTTTCAAAGAGAGAGCATGGCATGAAAGGCCAGAACAGACCACATTAAGACCACATCACAAATTGAAGGGTTATTTAAGTTGGAAACAATCGGTCTTGCGATAGAAGATATTTTGTCAACAGATGGCAAATATATGATTCAAAAATAAATTTTTCATGTGTTTTCTTATACTCTTTTCTCCCTAGATGTTTCTGTTGGCAATAACATGTGCATATGTAGCCAAAACACTATCTGGATCTTATATGAATTCCATGCTCACACAAATAGAGAGACAATTCAACATCCCAACATCTGTGGTTGGATTTATTAATGGGAGCTTTGAGATTGGTAATGAACTATTTTTGCATTACTTCTTTTTATATTTTATTTTATCTGTGGAATTAGAATTTTATTTTTATTTACTGCTTTAGGTCATTTAATCTGACTGAATAATATGTTTTCTAAAGTGAGTTGAATAGCTTAACTAACTTTGGAATATGCTTACAAACAGTTCATTTAAATATTACCCCTGAACAACACTTAAATATTGCCACATATCCCACCACTGGACTTTTTATTCTTATAGGTTTTTGGTTATCTAGTATGCGTGGCAGAATATTTAGTGTTTATACTTAGTCTATCATTTGATAACCCTTAAGGGCTCTATCTTCATACTTAGAAGAAATCACGGAAAAATAAAGGAATCTGTTTTCCAAGGGAAAAAACAAATATTTTTCTTCTCCTGTTGTTTCTGGGAGGTTGAGAATTCTCCTTCCTCTGTGCGGAGGGAAGAAGAAACTGCTTTCACATCTCCCTGAATTTATTTCAGAAACCACTTCTAGGGAGGAATAAAGTCTCTTCTTAGGCTCTGGTTTTTGCGGGTGACCGGGAAGATGTGGGGACAGAGAGAAAGATTTCTCCTGTGAACAAAGCTACATAGAAATATGAATGCTGCTCCTTTATGGTTTTATAATGACTTCTACTTCCTTCGAGGTGAAAGTTGCCTTTGATATATTTAATTGGTATCTGAAAGAAAAGTCAGGATTGAGGAGAGGCAAAACTGAAGCAGGCGATGCTTGATCCAGTCTGCTAGTGTTCAATTCTCTCAGACCTTGCTTTGTACCGCATGTGTGCTAGATCCTGGTGATGGAGTTAGAAGTCGTTCCTTAGATAGTCCTTGTGTAAACTCAGCTCACAGGCTAATGAAGGGAATTGATGCAAAATAATAATTTTAATTGAATGCAGTAAGTTTGGTGACATAGGCATATGCATATGCTCTGTAGGAGCACAGAGGAGGGACTCAACCTCACACAGGGTAGATCGGCTCTTGAAAGATGAAAGTACTTCCAGATGAAGAAACAGGGTTGGATGAGTGTGAAGAGAATTCCAATAGAAGAAGCATAAGTGTGAGACAGCATAGTAGCTTGTGTGGAGAGCAACATTCAGCCCAATATTATTGGCTGGCCAAGCTGAAGGTGGAAATTATTAGGATATAAGCCTGGAGAAATGGGCAGGGGTGAGAAATGGGCCATGGAGAGCCTTACGTGCTTTCTATGGAATTTACCTTTTGTCCTTTAGGTAACAGACAGTCATTAAGGGATTAGCAGGAGTTATCAATATTTCTGTGCCAAGGACTTTTTTGCAATCTGATGCCATATGATTTCAGAATAATATTTTAATTGAATAAAATAAAAACTTTAAGAGTACAAAGGAAGCCAATTATGTTGAAATAAAATTATCAAAATATTAAAAGAACTTGTCATCTCTTAATATGTTTGTACTTTTTATCAATATCCTAAATAACAATATCTATATTAATTTTGAAGGACTGATTAGTGTCAATAATATTTGAGGTATCTGCAACAACTGTAATGTCATATTCAAATATCTGTCACTTCTATTGATGACAAAATCATATGTACTGCTAATACCGCTGTAGTTTGTGCCTGCTTTCACTGTCAAAGGAAATGCTAATATTTAGTTAAAAGTTAGGGAAAATAAAGTTGCAATTGTTTTTCTCATTCAAGTTCTTGGAACCCCTGATTTCTATCCATGGGCTCCTTTGGGGTTTGTAAACTGAAGATCAAACTATTAAAAGCAAAGTTCAGATTTGCTTTTTTGAAGGGCCATGCTGTGGCTGTGTTGGGGATAAATTTGAAGGTGGTCAATCAGTCTGGGGCAGAGAGGATACACGGAGGCTGATGCAAAAGCAAGGGAGGGCTATCTGAGCCTGAGCCAGGATCCGACTGGAATATGAGAATAGAGAGAGAAGACCTAAGGAAAGAGGACCCAATACATATTAGGACTAGAGAGAAGGTGACCTAAGACATATTTAGGAGTTAAATCCCAGAGACCTGAGCGAGAGTTTAGATGTGGTGGGTGAGGAAAGCAGGAATCCCCAGGTTTACATCTTGGGCAGTAGAGTGGATAACGGTGCTGAGACAGAGAATAGAGGAAGAGGAACAAGATTATGGTGGTGGCTCTGGGACAATGGTGAGTTCTGTGTAGGCAAATATTGTCTGTGGTAATACCAGTGAAACCTTTGGGTAGCGATGTCCACATTGCAGTCATATGAGTCTGAAGCATTGCGAAACTGTCAGGGATGGAGCTATTGATTAAGTAAGTAAAAAGGTGGTTCTTAAAACTTGAGAACAGATGAAGCTACTCAGGGAGAGGATATAGGGTTATAAGTACAATGGACAAAGAATGGATCCCTGAGGGACACCAATGTTTAAGGCACAGGTAGAGAAAAAGGAGCCCATAACAGTGTTAAGAGAAGGAATAGTCAGAGAAGTAAGAGGGGAAAGAGGACAGAATGGTCTTATAGATGCCAAGGGAAGAGAAATTTCCAAAAGAGAACATTTGCTAGCAGCATGAAAAGAATTAGAAATGTCCAGTCAGATAAGGATGGAAAACTATTCCCTGTGTTTTATAATATGGAGATAATTGATGATCTTTGCCATGGCACTTTTAGCTGAAGAGTAGATTTAGAAACTAGAAAGCAGTGAGAGAGCAGTGACTTCAGGCGAGAATGGGAGAAGAGTGGAATCTCTGAATACAGATCAATGTTCTGGGAAGTTTGGAGAGAAGCTAGAAAACATCTGTAACTGAAATGCAGTAGAGAGGGAGGAGCTTAAAATATTATGAGAGAGGTTTTAATTATTGGACTAAGTTTCTGGAAAGAATGGAAGTTCCCAGGTGGTCTGTTTGATCTTGGATGGTCAGATGGGCACCAAACACTGAAACTGAAGGAAGATGGTAAGGCCAAAGGGTGGGGAACTCAGATACCTTTGTGTTTGATTGCTCCGCATTTCTTGACAAGTAGAAAATATTAACTATGGAAAGTGAGTGTTGAAAGGTGGTGTGAGCAGAATGATGAAGATCTGAAATAGTTGTTGAGGGGAAAAAGAGAGGTAATTTACAGACGCTGATAAAAGTATCGCTTTGATTACTTTTCCTCAGTAATTTTACAAGCAGTGTTCTCAAGTGTTCTCAAAACACTTGACAAGAACTTAACTGTCTTTTTCCATCCCCTCTCATCATAATTATTTTACTGACAGAGCAAGGAATTTGAAAGATGAACTCACCCTAATGTAAGGAGGGAAATCTCCTTCCTGCTCCTTTCAAAAATAGATATGGATTTCAAACAGTGGCCTTATTGAGACACTACCTTCAACATGGATGGCTTTGATGATGGGCATTTTAGAAACCTAGGGAGGCCAATGTGGCTGCCATGGCTATAGAGATGGGACACTCTCCATATAAAATAATATAGGGGCTGACTTCTCTTCTGCTTACAAAGCAGACTACAGAGAAAACAGAGATGGAAAGAGAAGTCTTCAAAATATACATCACCACTTAGAAAGTTATTAACTCCTTGAGGAAGAGTTTTTAAAATTTTTATAATCCTCAAGCTCATCATAGTGACTTTCCCTATACATAGTAAGATTAGGGTAAATATTGATTATTGAATTAAAAATGTATGATTTGAGAACTTACATGTTTGGCTCTTCCAATCCTTTGATCCATAGTCTTCAAGGGTCTGTCCATCAGAATGGGGCCTCCTCAATTATTGTCTAAATCCTAAAGCTTTATCCTAAGACATGGGAATACACTTTTTCCTGAGTTATTTACTCCTCAAACACAGATTTACTTCTAAGACCGTGGTGGAGAAACAGGGATCCACTACTTTTTGTTTCTAAAGAAAGAAGTAGAAGTGAAAATAGACCTATAGCTTGGCTACATTGACCAATATAAAGTTATATTTGAATCATGAGTTACAAAACATATATCTATCTGGAGTTGACTTTGCTTCCCTTTTCAAACATAGGAAAGCCTATCATACTCTGTGGAGCCGGCATGGGGGGAGAGGCCAGAGATGATGTACAGGCTGACACCTACTTTTACATTCCATTTTCTAAAGCCAGATAATCACAAATAGAGCCATTAACATTTCCTAGAACCATTCTTCAGTCCCTTTCACTGGCTTCTCTTTCTCCGCCCTCTTTAAAATGTTAGTGTTCCACCGACATCTGTTTATGTGTCTGTGGACATTGTGGAATAAAGCCCTCTTTCAGGGCAGGGATTGTGTCTTATTCATTTGTTATTTCATGCATCCCTAGCACCAATCCTAGTATTTGAGATATTTATTATACAATAAATGCTAAATAGTAAATGATTGGGTGAGGCTGTTAATTAAGACTTTGTTCATACTTATTGAACTGTTCACATTTCATCTCAATTTTTTCCTAGGAAATCTTTTGTTGATTGTATTTGTGAGTTATTTTGGAACCAAACTGCATAGACCTATAATGATTGGTGTTGGATGTGTGGTTATGAGCCTAGGGTGTTTCTTACAATCACTACCTCATTTCTTCATGGACCGGTAAGTATTCCAGTCTCTGAAGACCTGTCAGGTTCAACTTACAGCTTTAGGAAATAAAGAATGGAATTTCCTTTCTCAGAACAATGCTTCCTAAAAGCACAGAGCACTGTAATGGGAACTGCAAGGTGCAGATTCTGTCTCATCTGTCTGTTTTGTGCTCCTGGCTGCTTCCACTTACACAGCCACATTTTGTCAATTTATGAAATAGAGATTTGAGACAGCTCTTTCATGGAGTTGAGTCTGATGATAAGATTCTTAGGCTCTGGCAAATCTGGGATTACTCCTTTCTTGGGACTATTTAGATGCTTCTAATTACAGTTGAGTTTCTGTTTAATTGTAGGTCACCAAGAGACTCAATCTGAAGATTGATTTTTATTTTAATTTTTACCAAAATAATATGTGTACAAAGTTGTAAAACTAAAATTATATTGAAAGTCTTATGTTGAAAAAAGAATTGTCCCGTTACTTCAACATTGGCCATATTACTGCTTTCTAGATTCAACCACTCCCAAGTCTTTTAGCTCTTTCTTCTGCTGTTTGCTTCCGTATTTATAAGTAAATGTTTATCCTTTCAGTTTTTGCTACCTTAGTGTTGTGTAATATCTATTGACTTCCTACTATAAGCTCATGTTCACTATTTTCATGTGTATCACTATGGAAATATTTTTTACATTTCAACTAAAACATGCTGTTATCTTTCCTTTCTTATATCACTTTTTATTTTCCCTGGATTTAATAATTGCCTCATTTTTTATTTTGATTTGTTTTCTTTTCATTTCTCACTAGCCATAAGGAAACTCTCTACTGGTAGGGGAATGTCTTCTCAATATACTCATACATATCAGAGAGTTTCATTTTTGTCTTGAAGATACCTCTCCTGTAACCACCAATTTTTCATGTGCAATCTGAACCAGGAACTCTCTAGGCTTTCTGAGTGACTACTTCCTTGAAATTGGTCTTCAACATTATCTTGAGAATCTGCTTTGCCTTTTTCTTCCATTCAATTCCTTATTTCCTGGGTATCATATCTTCTGTTTTCCTTTTTCACTCTCACTCCTTTTTATGGAAAATGTAACCTGATAGGTTTCTGAGAAAGTGTGTAAGCGAATTAAAAATTTTAAGATCTTGAACATCTGAAAATATGCATATTCTATTCCCACACTTAGTTGATAGTTTGGCTGGTATAACATTCTAGGTTGGAAATATTTTCCCTAGGGATTTCGAAGACATCAGTCCAATGTTTTCTACCTTCTAAGGTTACTATTGAGAATCCTATGCATTCTAATCCCTGTGTCTAACTTCTTTTCTCTGGGAGCTATTGAGATTTTCTTTTAAGTTCCAGAGGCTAAATTCGTAATTGTCTACTATAGATCCTTTTCCTCCATTGTGTTCAATGTCTTCAATCTGGACATTTGTAAAAGTTACTTGTATTGTTTCTTGATAATATCAGTCCCTACCCCTCAATTTTCTGTTTTTAGAAAATTCAGTTCTTCTTCTAGTTCTTGAATATGGTTACATCCAAATTAAGCTTATATTTTTCTCATCATTTTTCCTGCCATTTTCTCTCTTGTCTTTTTGTTACTTTTGGGGAGTTTTCTTTAACTTTATCTTCCAAAGCTTTGAATGGATTTCTAACTTTTGCTACCATATTTTTAATTTTCAAGGACTCTTTTTTTCTTTGAATGTATCGTTTTAAAGAACATCTTCTTTCAAGAATGCAATGTCTTTTCCCACATACATTTTCCTCATCTGTCTTCATTGTCTTTCTCTCCTTCAAGTGTACAGTTTTTTATTTGTTTTGTCTTTTTCTTTACCATTATAGGCTTCCCTCATATATCTGGTGGTTCTTGTTATCTATTCATATTTAAGAGAGAAGAATAACAACTACAAGCTAACTGGAAGTTCTGTGTACATATGTAGGACTTGGTTAACGGAGGACTTCACAGCACAGGGACTGGCTGTGTTTTAGATGGCTCAGAACTGCCCATAATCTGTCAGTTATCCTAGGCAGGGATTCTCCAGTCTGTTGCCTGAGAGGTGGAAGCTTGGCTACCAACCAGGTGGGAGAGGAATCTCACTTTTCAGTATGCAGATTTTTTTTAACTTAATACTCCTGGTTTTTAGTATGACCTCCATATCCTCAATGTACCTGGTCTGACTCTCTAGAGTCAAAAGACCATTTTCAGTTAAAATGGCAGATGATGTCTATCAGGGTCTAACTGATCCACATACATGCTTTAAACCAATCCTCTTGTTTTTGGGATCATGCCCACTCCCACGTTTAGACATATCTTGTATCTTCCCTGAGATTTCCCAAGGGGAGTGTGGCACACGTTTGGTTGCTCCCCTGTAGGCACTTACTTAGGGCCATTCTTCTCATATCAACTAATTCAGTGACCACTCAGTTATCTGCTTTCCCATTTTCAAAATCTTATTAAACTCTTTCTTCTTGTCAAATCTTCCATTCTCTTTATCCTTGTGGCATTATACCTTTTCATTTTCCATTTTAAAATCAATTTACTGCCATTTTGCTGATGTTTTGGGGATGAATGGACTTTGAATGAGTTATTGGGTTTTAATAGATAACAAATGAGCAAGATATAGTGTCTTCTCAGGGATTTCTGAAGGAATCAGAAGTTTCCAGGCAAAGAGTTTTTACTGTCCTTTTATTTCCTATCCTGTCCAAGACAGCATCAAATAATATTCAGCTATTATTTACATTTCTTTCCACCCTCTGCCAAAGGTATTATTTCTTTGCCCAAAGCTGGCATGTCTCATTGGATCATGGGTATGGAGACAGAAGCCTTTATCCACAGTTCACAGTCAAACTCTACAGGCATGACTGGGCAATTGTTCTAATGGGAAGTTATTTTGACCCTTTTCGTTATGTTCCATAGCATAAAAATTAGGACTATTGTTGACATCCAAGCATAACACTCTTTAGCTTATTTGGAACTCAGAAGGGCAAATTTTCTTTGGCTTTCTCTTATCTAATAGAAACATAGAAGCCAATCCAGCATAATTTCTAACAAAGAGAGACTTAGCTGGACATATTTCCCTCCATTGTTGGTGCGTGGTAATTTGTTTTCTGAGAAAGGGCATGTGGATCTTGTGGCAATTTGCCTAAGGCAAATGGTCACAGTCTATTAACTCTTTTGTTCTAATGAGAAGAGAAAAAGTCATTACATTGTGCTCTCACAGTGTTTGAGATTCTCCTAAGGTCTCTCATTATGACGGACAAATGTTTTGTTTTTCTTAGGGATTAACAAGCACATGAAGTAATTATTGTTTGGCTTCCCAGAAAGCAATGGCATATTTCTTATGAGCAAACCTCAGAGAATCCAAAGTTGGAACCTGGTTTTGTGGTGGTGTTTTTTCCCCCAAAGCCTTTATCTTCTTAATTATACTTTGTAGAGTCTATTATTTATCTTAGTTTTTGTTCCTTATCCCACAGTAATTGTTTCCGGGAAATGATCACCTAAAAACCACAGAAGGTTGATGTTAGGTAATCTAAGAGGAAGATAATCCACATGCAGATAATTGAAAGCTAGCTGTCAACAGATTGTATGCTTACAGCGAGTGGCAAGTTCTTTTTGGTGATATTATGATGATCAGATAGCAAAGATGAAAAGAAAACTACTTTGCTGGATGTGGATGTTGTGTCTTAAGTGAAACAGGAGTAATCTGCACAATGCTCACATTGTCCTCTTTGGCTCCTTAACACGAACATGTTTTTCCTGTGTTCATACAGATATGAATATGAATCTACAGTTTCAGTTTCAGGCAATTTGTCCTCAAACAGTTTCTTGTGTATGGAAAATGGAACCCAGATTTTCAGACCAACAGAGGATCCATCAGGTTGTCTACTTCATTTTATTGCTTTCTGTTCAGTGAATTTGTAACTGAACACTTTCTGAGTTATTGGGTTTGGTTAAGAAAGTAAGGCAAATGAGCAAAATATATTTTCTTTTTTCAGGGATTTTGGAAATCACGAGGGAGACTAGGAATGTCTGATAACACAGAATATATTATATTTATATATAATATATATATTTGAATATACTTATTAAGACTGCCTTGTCTATTGTTTAAAATGGTTATTTAAAAATAAATCAAAGACATCCATTCAAGGACTACTGTAGAGTTAATTCTGTGGAGCAAACATTTTAGAACAATAGATTTACACTGATAATTTGGTCTATATAACATGTAAATAGGAAATAGACATAGAAATAAAGTTCAAAGGATTTAAGTTTTATCTCTAATCTTCTATAGAAGAGAAAGCAGGCAAGTACGCGATAGTTCTGATTTACTCTATTCTCTTTCTACTGAACTAGGAACTTATCCTTCTGCCCTACTTCTCCTTCTTTACCAGAGACATTACTTTACAGTCCAACACAGTAGTGGTGCTTCTTCGAGCTTCCTGTAGTCCCAGAAAAACAACATACCAGTCTCTACCCTTTCCTATGCTAAGGCATCTATACAATCTTCTGGTGATACTTAGTCTGGAGGTGACCCTGTTGACTCACCTCAGACTAGAACTCTCTATGATGGGGACATTTTTATGCTGGATTCATATCAGTGGAAGTTACAGTGGTTCTCAAGGCTAGGAATTTTTACTGCCAGCATGGAATCAGAAGGAACCAAAATAGTTTCAGGGAGTGTAAGAATAGCTGTCTCAGAAACTCTAAGCCAAGGGAACCCCCTGGGGAAACAATGAAAAACAGTGACATAACAGTGGCCTGTGTTCTTTCCTTGGGCTGGCTTTTGCCAAAGACTGACTCTGATCCTATTTCCTACTTTTTTTCTTTTTTAAAAAAGTGTGCTTTGTAGTAGATAAATCAAAACGTCCCAAGTCTGGTGTAGTTCCAGGAGAGTGTATTGATTCTTTGATCACCTGATATTTTTAGTTTTGCCATAGCATGGGCCTAGAGTTTGCCTACGATCTCCAGAGACAAATCCTTGTGCCCACTGTGGGAAAAATATACGAATCCCCAGAAATGGAAACTGATCCTTTTGGACTGGGAATGACTGAGAGATAGATTTCATAAAAAATTTCCAGACCCAGCTGTGCTCAGGACCCTCACATCTGTGGGTGGCACCTGGCCAGCTTGTAGGAGATGAGAATAAGTTGTCACTCACTTTCCTGAAAAAGTGACCCTGCAGAGCGTGCTCATGTCTTGACTGCTATTTTGGCTTAGAACAAAAATGGAAAAACAGTAGACATAAGTCTTCAGAGATTTACCTATCTTCCTCCCTTTCAATCCTCTTTGGACTAGTCTTTGTTATTCTACTAAGCAGCTGCTGCTCCAAGATTGGGATGAATTTCTTTATTAAAACTTATTCGGTGGTTACAGTATACAGTAGGCATTATAGAGAAAATGTGATTACTACCCAGTTCAATATTTTTAGTGTCCATAAGTAATTAGAGCTGCAGAGAATTCAAACTTCAGTGAGACTCTTATTTAAATCTTATAAATATAGTATACATTCTCGGTAGAGATATTTGTGGGTTTTTTCTTTCCCCAAATTTAGTATAGAAATGGGGTAGCACTCATAGCAGCTAACGGGGCTCAGTAGTTGCAGGAAACTAGCTCTCTGGAGGGAAAATAAAAAGCCCTGGATTTTAGTGTTTGCCAATTTCTGTTGTGTAACTATTTCCATCAAACTACCAATATGTTGTCACTAAACACTGAATTGGGAACAGAGGTGTATACTCATCTCTCCCAACCCAGTAGAAACTGGCTCCAGCATACCACTTATACTTGGCCATACATAAGCTCTCTGTCAGAAAATGCAAGAGGGATGGCCCAATGATTCCTTGCCAGCATAGTAATATAAATGGTTGACAAGGTGCCATGGTCACATAAGAACTGTAAAATGCTTACCAAAAACTTACAATTTAAGTATCGCTAATACTTCACTATCAAAACACTAATGCAATGCCTTTTTTTCTTTTAATGCAGAATGTGTGAAGGAAGTTAAATCATTAATGTGGGTGTATGTACTAGTAGGAAATATCATACGTGGAATTGGTGAAACTCCCATCATGCCTTTGGGTATTTCCTACATAGAAGATTTTGCCAAATCTGAAAACTCTCCTTTATATATTGGTGAGTTTGAAAATCTGCTTTAGCCTCTTTTCAGAAAAGTAAATTCTTTGAAGGTGGATATTAGTTATTTATTTTGACTCTCAGTGATTTCCAGAATGATAAGCAGAGTGCCTTGGCACTGTTGGCCATCAGTAAAAGTTTGTTGAATGGAGAAATTACATGCTAACTCCAAACAAACCCTTTGCCAAATCTGCTTTTTACTATTAAAAATACCCTAATCTAGTTTTCCTGGAGTTCTCTTTGCCTTCTCCATTTCCTTAGCACCACTCTATATCCAGTCTGTTAAGAGATTTACCAAAGGTTTCTCTAAAATTTCCCCTACATTCAAAACCTTTCTTACTATTTTCATTACTTCTATTTTTGTTCAGGTCTCTATTACTTCATCTGCAGGATATTACAACTTCTTTTTTGGTCAGTTTATCTCTAGTATTTTCTTTTTATCAATTTCTTATAAACATATGTGCAGTATAATTTTTCTCAAACATTGTTTTAATTATGTCTTCTCTACCAAGTTCATGAAACATACTGGCTCTTTATTTATTAACTCTGATTTCTCCATTTATTATGCATAGCTTACAATCAGTTTATCTTTTTAGTTTCCTATATAGTTTCTCTTCACCACAATCTCTCTATACTAGTCAGGCTTTTTCATATTTTTCGCAAGTATTCATCTTCATATTTTTGATTATCTTCCTTGAAATTTCCTTTTGTAAAATCCATCAATGTCACTTCCCACGATATCCAACTTAAGATCCACCTTCTTATGTTGTCATCCAGTCTCCGAAATACTCTTAATTTATTATGCATAACTTACATTCCTTAGTTATTCCATCTGTGGGTTACAAAATCATAGCTTTGAGTATAGGAACACTTTGCTATTAAATAGACATATCTTTTAAAAACCAGAGTAGTTCAAAGAAGGTGAGAGGAGATAGGAACAAAATTACACATAATCAAGATAGATTAAAATATTTAGGATAATCATTACTCCCAGTAACTTTTGGCACTTTTTGATGACTCGCTGATTTTGCAAACATCTTTCACAGTGTTTTTCTATTCAGTCCTTTCAAATTCCTTAACATACTTCTTTTGAAGAATACAAATGCTCACCTGCAATAAATTAACAAACACCTTGTTATAATATATATTTCTTTATTCAACAAATACTAGGGTGTATAATATATATAAATTACTATGATAATCTCTCTATATATTAAGATAAATATGACATGGTTCATATAAGATTTAGTGTATAAACAACTAGATAGTTATAAATCGGTGAAATTTGAAAAATATTGTATGTATAATTAAATTTGAAAAAATGAAATAAATAAATATGTGTGTGTATACTTACATAAGCATAAATCAATTAGCTATGCATCAAGGAAACAGTTCCACGTATGGCTCTGGAGTTTAGGGGAGAACATAAAAGCTAGATACAAAGTTTGAGAATCATTTATACAGAGACAATAAATGAAACCAAGAGGGCGAAATGAGGTTGCCATGGGAGACCATATATATAGTGAGAGGTCCTAGAAGAAAATACTAGGGAACACTTCAACTTCGTGAGTAGAGTAGGAGGAAGAAAAATCAAAGAAGGAGTAGTCATAGGGGAAAAAGTGAGACAATGAATGTATAGTTTTGTGAAAGTCTTAGGAGGAAAATGTTAAAAGTAAGTCGGACAGCAATGTCAAGTAACATGGACAGTTAGGAGGACGGAGACCAGAAAAGGACACTGGACAAGTAACCAAGAGATCACTGGTGCTACCTGAGAGTGTTTTGATTAGAATGTGAAAAGATTTGAGTAGAGTGTGTGGTAAGGAAGTAGAAGCAGAGAGTGGTGAAAGGAAAGAAAGCAGAGGGTGTTTGAGATATCGGAGAAATCAGTGGATGGGAGAGATTGAACAAACACAAGAGAGGGAGTGTGTGGTTGAGCAAGACCTCAGAGAAGATCTGCAGGGATTAGTGTCAAGAAGTCAGGTAGGTGGGTCAGCCTATAGAACTGTGAAGAAGGCAGAGACAATGGGTGAAGACATATTTTGAAGTCAAGAAGAAGAAAGTTGAAGAAGCTCATGTCTGGATTTTCAGTGAACATAGAGAGCTCAGCATAGATTCTGAATTGTAGACAAGTCATGAGATAACTGCTGATGAAGTTCCAGAAGAGTAGAAAGTCAAGTGAGGACAAGGGGGACTGATGGAAATGGAATATAAGAATGTGGAGGATAAGAAAAGAGATCATGATAAAAGTGAAGAGAAGTATCATTAATAGGGAGGACATAGCCAGAGGAAGTTTCAAACTGAATATTTGGGAGCAAAGTTTTTCTGAAGAATGTGCCATAAGAAGTTTATCATAACATGGATTGCTTTAAAGTTCTTCTAAAAATGTGACTATGGAAACCATCAAAAGAATCTTGCTCTATATTGTGACTTTGTCAATAGCATGATACTAGCTTATGCTGCTACAGCTAATCTTTACCTGAGACCTCAGCATGAAAGGGAACTTGGAGGCCTAGAGAAAGTGGCTTTAAATTATCAGGGTCCTTTTTAAATATTTACAGAAACAACCTTTCTACTTATATGTATACAAGCTTAATTGTCCCACAAATTGAATATCTAAAGCAAAAACAATCCAATTTTCAGACTCTATATAGAATTAGAACTCTATGCGGGTACAGAACTCTACTATAACTTTATATTTTCCTTTATTTTTAGGGTTTATAGAAACAGGAGCTATCATTGGTCCTCTGATTGGACTTTTGTTAGCATCATTTTGTGCAAACGTTTATGTTGACACTGGATCTGTGAACACAGGTAATTCAATAACGTCTATTTAGACAGTGTCTAGAGGACACAGAGCATCTTCAGGGATGTTATCGTAGTTAATCATTGACCTATTTGACCCCCAGTTAGATAGATTATCTCCACTTTCACTGAGCAAACGGAAGCGGAGGAGTTTAAATAGTTTCTCAAATATTTCAAATCAGTGAGCAGGAGAGCAAGCTAAAATGCTGATCTTCTGACTCAAAAGCCAGTGCTCTTTCTACTACACTACAACCATATTTCTTGTTTTTAAAAGATTTAAGCACATAGGTTTGAATTTCTTTTTTTTTTTTTAAAGATTGGCCCTGAGCTAACATCTGTTGCCTGTCTTTTTTTTGTTGTTTTTTTCTTCTTCTCCCCAAAGCCCCCCACTACATAGTTGTATGTTCTAGTTGTAGATCCTTGTAATTCTGCTGTGTGAGATGCCATCTCAGCATGGCTTGATGAGTAGGGCTGGGTCTATGCCCAGGATCCGAACCCACAAACCCCAAGCTGCCAAGGTGGAGCATGCAAACTTAGCCACTGGGCCACGGGGCCGGCCCCTGAATTTCTTTTAATTGAGCAATCATTTGTGGATAATGAAATAGACCTTGTAGTTCTTTAATGAATACCTATTTATAAATTCCTTACACGATAAGACAGATAGTCAAACTAATTTATTGCTAGACAATATTGTAACACCACATATTGTCAGACAAGTTTTATGAATATCTGAATTATATAAAATTCTATACTTTGATAAAACCTGAGAACTACAATTTTAATAATTTTCTATAGTTCATACAGGAGATAATACCTTAAGCTAATAAAGAATGCGTGTGTTTCTTTACAGAGGACCTGACCATAACTCCCACTGATACGCGTTGGGTTGGTGCATGGTGGTTTGGCTTTCTGGTTTGTGCAGGAGTGAATCTGCTCACTGCCATCCCTTTTTTCTTTTTGCCCAAAACGCCTCCAAAAGAAGGACTAACAAATAATGCTGAGATCGTTAAAAACGACCAAGAAGAGAAACAAAAAGAAGTCAAGAAGGAAAAGGATGGAATCACTAAGGGCAAGTATAAACACTTTAAATACTATATAATGTACTTTTTCTTTTATGTAGATGTGTCTGTATTTTAGTCTAACACTATAACATCCTAGGCTGTGTTAAGACACTTTGTCACTGACAGTCAGCAGTTAAGAATGTCTCGCTAGTCTGATTCCTCCTATGCTTCCACTTGGAAATAAGTAGTATAATTTGGAAGCTGAATTAGGTCAGCATTTATATAAAATTTTATGTCAATCTGGGCACTCAATAAATTTAGTTATTTATTTTACTTGGTCCCATTTGCCTTAAAAAAATCTATTTTACAGGCAACATAGGCCTAATTTTCAAAAAAGAAAGAAATTCAAACTAAGAACAAAAGGAGGAAAAGATATACATGAATCGAAATAAGTATATAGTTCTGAAATCAAGAACGTTAGCTTAGTTCTGAGCCTCCTGGAAGTTAAGGCAGAAAAAAAACCCAAACATGGTAGGGCATATAATTCTCTATATTTGATGGAGGGAAGAATAACAAATCTTAAAGAGAAACTGTTCCCCAAGTAACAAATTGTAAAAGAAAGAAAAAATTATCATATGATGTATGATACAGGTAATATTGACCACATAGTTGTTTTTCAGTAAATGCAGGAGCATATTTCATGTAACAGGGTTTTTTGTATAGATTCTCAAAGCATAATTTACAGGCATTTCTGTGGGAAACCAAGCTAAGATAGCCTAAGTAGTATTCAAGAACATGGATTCTCACATTTGGCCACATATTGCAATCATGTAGGAAATTTTTTAAATTATTGATGTTTAGAAATTCTGTAGATTTGCCTAGATGTCTGATTTAATTAGTATGAAGAGTGGCCTGGGACTTGGAATTCTTAAAGAACGTTTATTTAGAAGGTGGGTGGGGGCTCAGTTTCCTTAACTGTAAAATGTGGATAACAATAGTGCTTAGTATTATAGAGTTGTCGTGTAAGGGTAAAAGGAGTTCTGGCATATATTATTATTATTACTGCTATTACTATTAGCATTATTACTGTTGACCCTACTTCTCCTACCATCCGCCATAAATTATAGTACCAATTTGCACAAAATTATTATTAACCATTTTGAATTCGCTTAAATCGCAGATGAACTTAATTTAACACCTCTTGGATCATTCGGAGCCAATTCAGAATCTTGCAAATTCTCAGAGTCGTCATGGTTATATTAACAGCTCTTCTCAAAGGGCTGATATGGACTGATAGAGGATTTTAACATAGAATATTGTTAGTGTCTGCAAGATCAATATTCAAAACTAGAAAAGAGCTTAACTTAGTATAAGACATATAGAAAAGAAATTGGAACCACTGAGACTCATCTATTAGGACAGGGATGTCAATAAACATGGGTGACTTACAAAGCTCCAAAGAGCTCTGAACACAACTTTTTACCCTGCCATGTGCTTTATTCATAAATATGAATTCTTCAATGAGAATTCATTTCTTTGCATTAAACCATGCTGAAGATAGGAAAAGGAAAAGGAAACTGTAAGTGAGAATTTGACCCCAAATAAAGGCAGTGTGAATCTAGAACGTTTGCTAGAGATGGGCCACAGATTTGGCTCTGAGCTTTGTCAGTCCACACAAACAGGGAAAAGGCTTGGTTAAATCATTTACATGGTCCCTAGTATATACCAAATAAATCAGCATCTCAGGAACTGAGACCTGGGGATCGGTATTTTTAAAAGACCCTCAGGTGGTCTCAATGTGCATCCTCTTGTGAACCTTTGGCAGAAACACCAAAACTATTGTTCTAAAGAAACAGAAAAATACCTGGTACTTGAGAAAATCTATATCTCATGAATTCCCACATATATCTTCATTTTAAATGTTCAGGAATGATAATATCAATATTTGAGTGTGAACTTCTTTATCACGTTGATTTTCTTCCAGACTTTAGAGAACAGAACAAGTATCTTTCATGCTAGATGATCTCTAGAGAAGATAAGATATTAAGAGCAGGATGAAAAGGAAATGGTGTGAACACAGACAATATTTTGGTCACGTTATATATAGCTTTTCCTTAAGACACAATAGTAATTTACTGAAGGCAAAACTATTGTGTTCTGACCCCTACCTAGTCAACTGCATCACTAGAGAGCAGAAGCTGCTAAAACAATGATATAACTCTAGCTTTCAAGAGGTAAAAGAATTAACAAACAGATGTGCATTATAAAACAGAAAAGCATAATTTGGAGGGGAGGTTGATATTTCAGAAAAAGTTAATCATAAAATGCAAAGCTGAGATAATTTGATATTGTTTCGTTCTTTTTCTTTTTTCAGATTTTTTACCCTTCTTGAAAAGTCTTTTATGCAACCCAATTTACATGCTTTTCATACTAATAAGTGTGATCCAGTTCAATGCATTTGTTAATATGATCTCCTTCATGCCGAAATATCTGGAACAACAATATGGAAAATCATCTTCGGATGCAATCTTTTTAATTGGTATGTTTGTTCTTTGCCGATTAGCAGCTCACTTTTTCCCATGAAATGGTGAACAGTGTAACGATGGGTCCAGGAAACTCCTAAATTGAAATCTGTTAGAATATTTTTGTCTCTGGTTCATTTCCCCTTTCTGCTCTCCAGTGAAATCAAGAAAAGGTAAGGAAGGGAGGAAGCCAGGCAGTCCTGGCTTTCTTCTCCTTTTTGCTCTCTCTTTAGTCAGAACGTAAATTCAAAATACTTGTGGGAATTTTGGGGAATGCACAAATTAGATACAATTTTCATATAGGCAATCCATTAGTGTAAAAAGGGAGACAGGGTTACCTCGCTAGGAGTCCACATTTTACTACCGGATTTTACTTTTGGCTCCAATTCATGAATGCCATGTTCCTTCTAACTTAGTTCCCTGGTCCCCCTGGTGGTTTGAGGCGTCTCTGCAGCCCATACATTCTGATTTTCCTGTGACCACACTAACCCCTACCCTGATCTTTTTACTGTTTTGAAAAGTGAATTTCCAGGCTACCTGCATCCCCATCACGTAGAGTGTTAAAATTCAGGTACCTGGGGCTCACCTCAGACATACTAAATCAGACTCTTTCGTATGGGGCACTGGAATGGATTTTTAACAAGCTGTGCCAAGAATGTAATTCCATGAGCAGACCCTGGCATTGTGAGAATGCAGTCTAGGGCTGTCTTTTCCTTTTTCTTCTTTTCTCCTTTCTTGGGGGGTGCCTTGGGGGAGGGAGAGTGCTGGTCAGTAGCAGCAAGACATAAAATTAAATACCCTTGACAATCACAGGCTCAGCAAAATGACCCTCTAAATTACCTTGAGCTGGGTCAAATTTTTAACAACCAGAGTAGGAATAAAGACCTGCAAAATCATATAAATCACAAATCATACACATAATCTCACTCCAAAGAATGGGAAGCAAAAATTACTGGTCAACTTTGACTTGTCACTCCTACCTGGATCCTAAGAAAAGGGATATAAATGTGACCTTTGCCTATATGAAATTTACAATCTACTGTAATTACTTAAATGGACAATAATGATAACAGGCTTCCAAAATATACTTCGATGTTGTGGGGCATTTTAAAATCTCTCTGTGTGTAGTATGTAACTAAGTGGGGACAAAATTAAATCAACTTTCTTCATTGTGAGTTGGACCTCAATGGTTTCTTATGTAATACATATTAGATAAAAAAGATATCATATTTTTTCCTTCACTAAATCACTTTGTAAATACTATTTTACTTGCATTTACAGGTATTTATAACTTACCTCCAATATGCATTGGATATATAGTTGGTGGTTTAATTATGAAGAAGTTCAAGATTACTGTCAAACAAGCTGCCCACATAGGATGCTGGTTTTCTTTAATTGAGTATCTTCTCTATTACTTGTGTTTTCTCATGATCTGTGATAACTCTCCAGTTGCTGGCGTAACCACCTCTTATGAAGGGTATGTTGTTTTCTAACGGATGTTATACTCTTTCAACAGTTAATAACATATGTTCTCCAATGATTATCCATGACCAGATCATTTTCTAATTGGAATTAATGGCAGTAATCTGTAGTCTTTCTTCATCTTTCCTCCATCTGTCAATCATAACCCAATCCATGCAGGTTCTAGGCTTATTAAAGAGGTTGGGAACATCTCAGAAGGTTAGTGAGTTTATGAAGGTGTGTGTGTGAGTGTTTGGCTTTGTGATATCCTAGTAGATATTAAAGTGGATATCAAAGGAACTACCTATAGTTTTAGGTTGTATTAGGATATGTTATCCATATATTTTATCCTCTCATAAATGAGTCAAATTAAGAGTTGACTATACAGTCTCAATCATCTTTATATGTTTCCACAATGGGCTTAAATTTAGCCTAACTGAATCCTAATACATGGCATATTAATTCGTATGTAAATTCATATATTTCATTTGTATAATCATGTCTTATCATTTAATAGTTTTAGATTTGTATTTTGAGGTTATCTGGGTTTGTAGGCAGGCTTTACATAGTGATGTGAATTTTTAAAATTCATTTGGAGGGCATATTTAGATAAGGGAGTAATCCGTTAAAATGAAATGAAGGGCATCCTAACACGTTTCCTTTAACATTTTCAAGCAATATAAGATTTGAATAATTTTAAATATAAAATCATAAAGTAATTTTGTATATTAACTGATTTGTCTTGCAAGTTCCATTTAAAATAGGTATTATTATTTCCATTTTACAGATGAAGAAATTAAGATTCAGAGGGATTAAATGACAAAGGGAGTTCATGGCAAACTTCTTCAATTTCATTAATATAGGAACACAGAATTTAAAACTGGAAAAATCTTAAAGATTATTTCCATTTCCAATTATTCCAATTCCTAGAGCAAGTGTGTAAAAAGGCAATTTATAATCTAGTCATGGAGTTAGGACTTTAATTCAGTCTCTAGACCCCCATGCTAGTGCTCTTTCAATCACCTTACACAGAGCACAAGAAAATCCTCTGTTGCTAGACACTTTTTAAAAACCTTTTCTTCCCAGCTTTATTGAGATATAATTGACATAAGACATTGTGTAAGTTTAAGGTGTACAGCCTAATGATTCGATACACTTTATATTTTGAAATGATACATGTCTATGACCTCACATATTTACAATTTTTTGTGTGTGGTAACTTTTAAGATCTACACTCTTAGCAACTTAAAATATACAGTCTTGTTAACTATAGTCACTATGATGCACGTTAGAGCCCCAGAACTTATTCGTCTTGTAACTTGAAGTTTGTACCCTTTGACCACCTTCACCCATTCCTCCCCACCCCCACCTCCCCAGCAACCGCCAATCTATTGTCTGTTTCTGAGTTCTGGTTTTTAGATTCCACAAACAAGTGAGATTATATAGTATTTGTCTTTCCCTTTCTGACTTATTTCATTCAGTGTAATGCCCTCAAGTTTCATCCATGTTGTCACAAATAGTAGGATTTCCTTTTTTCTATGGCTGAGTAATATTGCATTGTACGTATATATATATATATATATATATATATATATATATATATATGTCTCCATGTCTTGACTGTTGTGAATAATGCTGCAATAAAGTCGGAGGTGCAAATATCTCTTTCAGTAAGTGATGTCATTTCCTCCAAATCTATACCCACAAGTGTGATTGCTGGATCATATGGTAGTTCTATTTTTAGTTTTTGAGGAGCCTCCATACTGTTTTCCATAGTGGCTGCACCAATTTACATTCCCAGCAACAGTGTACAAGAGTTGCTACAAACTCACCAGCACTAGCCTTTTTTATAAGAACCACCCCCCACACACTTTTTCTTGTTCTTAGCTCTTTACTACGTTGCCTCATTTAATCTTTACAGAAATAGTGCTAGAATTATTTCCATTTTTTTTTTTAAGGAAGATTGGCCATGAGGTAACATCCATTGCCAATCTTCCTCTTTTTGCTTGAGGAAGAGTGTTTCCAAGCTAACGTCTGTGCCAATCTTCCTCTATTTTATGTGGGATGCCACCACAGTGTGGCTTGACAAGCAGTGCTAGGTCTGCACCCGGGATCCGAACCCATGAACCCCAGGCCACTGAAGTGGAGAGCGCAAACTTAACAACTATGCCACTGGGCCGGCCCCATCTCCATTTTATAGAAGAGGAAACTAAGGTTCAGGGAGTGACAGTGCATGAGCAAGAGATGTCAAATTTTAATTTGGCAACTAGACTCCAGGGTCAGAGCTGTTAACCATTTTAAAACTGCTTGTCATTTCCACTGGACAAAGGTTTTGCCTTTGTTCACGATCATTAATGATTTTTCCCCCCTCTCTTTTTTTTTCCAGTTTTATTGAGGCATAATCAACTAATGAAATTGTAAGATTTTAAAGTCTGTGTTATGATGACTTGATATATGTATACATTGTGAAAGGATTTCTCCCATCTAGTTAATTAACACATCCATCACCTCTCATATTTACCTGTTTGGTTTTTTTTGGTGGAAACATTTAGGTTCTACTCTCTTAGCGAGTTTCAATAATACTATAAACTGTTATCAACTATAGTCACCATTTTATACGTTACACCCTCAGGCCTTACTCTTCTTATAACTGAAGATTTGTACTCTTTTACCAACCTCTCCTTATTTCCGCCACTTCCGGGTCCTGGCAATCACTTTTTTACCCTGTTTCCACAAACTTGACTTTTTATTTAGATTTCACATATAAGTTACACCATGCAGTATTTGTACTTGTCTGGCGTCTTATTTCATTTAGCATAATGCCCTCATTTAGCATATTGTCACAAATGGCAGGATTTCCTTCTCTCTCGAGGCTGAATTGTATTCCATATTGCAGAATATATATCATATCTTCTTTATCCATTCATCCATTCATGGACACTTATGTTGTTTCTATGTCTTGGCTATTGTGAACAATGCTGCAATGAAGATGGGGGTGCAGATAGCTCTTCGATAGCTTGTTTTCATTTACTTTGGATATATACTCAGAAGTGGGATTGCTGGATCATGTGATAGTTCTATGTTCAATTTCTTGAGGAGCCTCCATACTGTTTTCCTTAGTGGCTGCACCAATTCACATTCCCCTCCACAGTGCACAAGGGTGACCTTTTCTCCTCATTCTCGCCAGCATTTATCTCTTGCTTTTTGATAATAGACATCCTAACAGGTGTAAGATGAGATCTCATTGTGGTTTTGATTTACATTTCCCTGATGATTAGTGATGTTGAACGTCTTTTCATTTACCTGTTGGCCATTTGTATGTCTTCCTTGGAAAAATGTTTATTCAGTTCCTCAGCCCATTTTTAAATCAGATTATTTGTTGTTTTTGCTCTTGAGTTGTGTGAGTTCTTTATATATTTTAGATATTAACCAACCCCTTATCAGATATATAGTTTAGAAATATCTTCTCCCATTCAGTAGGTTGCCTTTTCATTGTGTTGACTGTTTCCCTGGCTGTAGAGAAACTTTTAAGTTTGATATAGTCCCACTTGTTTGTCTTTGTTTTGGTTACTTGTACTTTTATTGTCAAATCCTAAAAATCATCACCAACACCAACATCATGGATCTCACTTGCTATGTTTTCTTCTAGGAGTTTTACGGTTTCAGGTCTTAAATCTAAATCTTAATCCATTTGAGTTGATTTTTGTGTATGGTGTAAGATAGGGATCCAATTTTGTTCTTTGCATGTGACTGTCCAGTTTTCCCATCATTATTTATGAAGATACTATCCTAACCCCACTGCATATTCTTGGCTTTTTTGTTGTAAATTAATGGACCATATATGCATGGGTTTATTTCTGGGCTTTCTATTTTGTTCTGTCGATCTATGTGACCGTTTCTGTGCCAATACCATGCTGTTTTGATTACAATAGCTTGTAATACAGTTTGAAATCAGGAAGTGTGATGTCTACAGCTTTATTCTTCTTTCTCAAGGTTGCTTTGACTACCTGACTATTCAGGATCTTTTGTGGCTGCAAGATGGGCTCTATGGCTGCCCAGATTCTCTGGCCAGGCCTCCTGGATGGACGGGACTGGAGGCTAAGCACCTCAGTTGGGCAGGGCTGCAAATTTACTTCTCTGCTCTGCTGAGGCAGTAGAACAGGCTCCACGGCCAGTATGTGTTGATTGGGGACCCAAATCTGGCAGAATTGCCAACCCAGCTACTTGACCAGACAAGGCCACTTGACCAGACAAGGCCACTTGACCTCTTGGCTCTGTAGAGCGTCAGAGCCACTAGCTGGATCTCTACTTGGGCCCTGCTGCAAGAATGCAGTCTGCCAAGATCCGAGTGCTAGTTTCTCTAGCCCCACCTCCCTTCTCCTTCTCTATCTGATACCCAGTGGAGGAGCCCTGCAGATTCTCCCTGTGATCACCATGTGGCTAGATCGAATGGGCCTCCTGGGAAGCATCCCACAATGCTGGGGGAGCTGGATGCCCACCTTGGGCTTTCTTTTTCCACTGGAGAAATCATAGGCCCAGGGGGTGCCTCTTGGTGGGTGCTATGCTGACCTGGGAGAGGGGTAATTTGGTCAGAGTGTAACTGCTCCTCTTACACTTCTAATGTGGTCCTTCTTGAACTCCACGGTCCAGGGGAGTGCTTCAGCCTCACCCCTAGGTTCCAGGATTCTGACAGTGGTGACTTGTCTATGGATAGCTGGTAATTGGTCTTCTTGTGAGGGGACTGAAGTCAGAAACAACGTATGTCACCATTTTGATCACCACTGGACACTTTTTATACTAGAAGAATGTATTTGTTTACTCAGTTAGTTATGTTTCTGGAGCTAAATGTATTGTCTACGATATAAATTGAGCTTACAGATTTTGATCTCCAAGTGAACCTTTGAGATTGTTTTTATAAAATATGATCTCTCTTGTTACTTTCCACCATATGGATCAACCACAGGGATTAGGTCATCTTTATTTTTGAGTTCTAATAATACCTGGAAAAATGCCTCCCATGTGGCAGGCCCTTGATTAATGTTTGTTTATTGGCTATTTGTTTATCTGAAATAAATCATTGAAAAAGTGGTTATGTGACCACCAAAGCAGGTATCTTTTATGCCAAGCTATAGTACCCAGGCCACACATGGATGGTTGGAAGATTTCTGTTTTTATTTTGGGGAGCAGAGGAAATATAGTTGCAAGTTGAGGTGAAAAGAAGAAAAAGAAAATGCTCTATTAGTCTTTCATTGTCCATGGCATTATTTTAAACCATTTCAGAACGCATCAAGATTTATACGTGGAAAATATCCTTACTGGCTGCAACATGAATTGCAACTGTCCAACTAAAATATGGGACCCTGTGTGTGGAGAAAATGGTTTGTCGTATATGTCGGCTTGTCTTGCTGGCTGTGAGACATCTGTCGGAACAGGAATAGACATGGTAACACATCCTCTTCTTTTTTACGGAAATTATGTGTTATGCACCTTATTGGCACTTTCTAACTATGAACTGGGCCTACATTTGATAAAAGTAAAATTAAAGATTTTCCTCAAAATCAAATTATCTTTTTTGTGGAAAAAATAAGTTACTTTCTATATGCTCACTTGATTTACCTTTTATTTCCTAGATCTTATTTCTTAAACCTTCACAGTGTCTGAGCACTGATCTTTAATTTCATAACAGTTGACATTATTACTTTGATAATTTGTTTTACAAATACTCTGGACTGAAATATTTTTATCACTGAGATAGAGTTCGCAGTTTGGGTCTCAATTATTCAGCTAATTGCATTGCTGGGGTTTGTTTCCTTTTTTTCCTGTGTATTGGTATGTACATGCTTTCGTGCTTTTCACTTTCTGACAACTTTTTAAGAAGATGGAATTATGCATGTTTTCTTGCCTAAAAAAGTCACAACACATAACGTCGATTGGTGATCAAAATAAAATATAAATTTTGATTCTTCTTAAAACCTGGAACAAATAAGAATTCAAAAAGGGTTAGCTTTGCTCTATTTTTGAAATAAACTATATTTTTTTAAACAAAGCTTTATTTGTAAATATCTAAATATTTCAACTGAGCATTCTGAAACAAATTTTGTTTGTCATACTTAGTGTTGTGGCAAATCAGCGTATGTTTTAAGAAAGCATAACTGTAGGCTGGCTGAGCTATTGCAAATTTATGCCATACAGTTAAAAAGAAATGCCATTTTTCTGAAGCCACTCTTCTGTGTTTTATTTTGTGCTATAATCCTGGGAGACAGCCTAAAGGAGGTGAGAACAAAGTGAATAAACAGTCTCCATCTTAATCTAATTGGCTATGTAGAAAATATTTGAGATCTGTGTTAAAATTTGCCTTTCTTAAATAGGGTAATATATATATTTTTTGACAGGTGTTCCAAAATTGTAGCTGCATTGGGACATCAGGAAATTCATCTGCAGTTCTTGGGCTGTGTGACAAAGGACATGACTGTTCCCTGATGCTCCAATACTTTTTAATCCTATCCATGACCAGTAGTTTCATTTATTCTTTATCCGCCATACCTGGATATATGGTTCTCCTGAGGTATGAGAATTATTTTCTGTAGATTTGTCTGTTAGATTCTCTATTAGATTCTTTTCTGGTCATTTATTAAGGGAGCTTTTTCTAAGAAAGCCACTTGGAGTCCATAGTATCTAAGAATTCATGCTCTAATATATTATTTAAGAGTTTCACTTTAGGCATTGTTGAGTTTTACAAAATTTTAAAGTTAGCAATATCAATGTTCATCTGTTGGCATTTCCCTCTGTATCTGTCCTTCCTTATTTCTTAGAGTTAAATTAGTGAACCACTCATTGTTTAACACAAGAAGAGACACGTTTATATTTTGGGGTAAACCATATGAAATAGTCATTCTGATAGGTAGAGTGACTGCCCAGCAGTCATTTCCTATGGTCCGACCTAGCCAACAGCAGAGTGTAAACCTGTCAGAAGCCCCAGTTGCACCAATTATTCTCTACAGGGCATCAGGCAGGTCATTTGGTCTTTCTGAGTTCCGTTTTTCTTTAATAACACATGGCCATAATATGGGGCCGGCTGGGTGGCTTAGTGGATAAGTTTGCATGCTCTGCTTCGGCAGCCCGGGGTTCCCAGTTTCAGATGCCGGGCACGGACCCAACACTGCTCAAAAAACCGTGCTCTGGAGGCATCTCACATAAAAGAGAGAAGATTGGCACAGATGTTAGCTCAGGGCCAGTATTCCTCACACACACACACACACACACACAATGTGGAAATTATGAAATACATTTAAAAAATGGGCATAAGAATAAAGGCTCGACTCTCTTACACAAATTTGTGAGACATAAATGATGAAGGGCTTTCTAAAGCTAGGAAACTTCAGAACTAGAATTCAAAGTTAGGTATATCACACATGTGTCTTTCAATTACAGCATTCTTCATGCCCGGTAAAAAATCTTATATGTCTAATAAACACAGTTTGCATTTTTTTTCTTTTCTTTGACTTTTATTGGAACTCAGAAGCAGAGTTAAGTTAATCATAATTCTTGGTTCATGGTACAATACCATCATATGTTGGGGTAAGGTTTCTCTCTTGTTTTACTTCATTTTTACTTTTTTTCATTCCATTTCCCACTTCCTATCACCATAGGCACTCACATTAATGTGATATATATATGTTCTCATACATGTGTTTTCCTTTGTAAAATATTAAGAGTTTTCTGTGTATGTGTTTTTATATTCACACAGATGATGTTCTGCTATAAGTCTTGTTTTGGTTCATGAGGCACATGCATACATAAATCCACCAAGTACTGCTAGTATTTTTGAGTTATACATCACTGCATGGGAATTCCTACCTCCTTATAGTCTCACTAACACTTGGAATTATCTAACTTTCTGACTTTGACTATTCCAATGGGTGTAAAATGTTAGCTCAATTATTTTTTTTCCCTGAGGAAGATTAGCCCTGAGCTAACATCTGTGCCAATCTTCCTCCATTTTATTTATACATGGGTTGCCACCACAGAATGGCTGATGAGAGGTGTAGGTCCATGCCTGGGATCCAAACCTGTGAACCTGGGCCACTGAAGTGGAGCATGCCAAACTTAACCACTACGCCACAGGGCCGGCCCCTCAATGATGTTGTCATATGTGATTTCCTGGTTCAGTGAGTCTAAGCATCTCTGAAAACATTTTTTCTAGCTCTCTGGGCTTCTGCTTCACAATGGTTATTCATTTTCTTTGCCCATTTTCCATTATATTTCCTATGTTTTTCTCGGTGACTTTGATAACTACTGTCTAAATTATAGACATTAATGTAATATTGTTAACATGATGCAATTATCTTCTCCCAGGCTCTCAGTTTTCTTTTAATTTTTCCACAGTATCTTGTATGAAATTAAATCCTAAATTTTGTTGCACTGAAACATAATGTTCTCGCCTTAGGGTTCATGTCTTGAGGGGTGACATTTAAAAAGTGTTTCCGCATTTCTGACTTATAAAATTATTCCCCTAAATTTTATCCTACTAGCTTCACAGCTTTACCTTTTACATATAGGTCTTTAAACCATTGCAAGTCTATCTTTACATGTGGTGCAAGAGAGATGGACGTTCAGTGTTATTTTTCTTCATATAATAGTTTTCCCAACATCGCAGCATAAATAAGAGGTCCTTTCTTTGATTTGTGCTGCCACCTTTATCACATCTCAGGCTTTTAATATAACATGCGTTTAATTATGTTGAAATATAATATTTTCAATCTTATTCTGTTCCACAGTTTTATTTGTCTGTTCTTATACCGGTGCCATAATGATTTTATTACTTGACATTGCATGTGTTAATATGTCACATGGTAACTCTTCCTCACCCACCCAGCACTGTCACCTCTACTCCTCCTTTATTCTTTTCTTCCAAAATTGATTTAGCTCTTGATGCGTGAATCTTTACACTCACATATGAATTTTGGTTGAGTTTATGTAGATTCTATAGATTAATTGGAGGAAATCTGACATCAAATATTTGTAAACATTAGATATCTTTCCATTTATTTAAATCTTTTATAAATACTATACACACACACACACATATATGCATACATACAAAGTGGCACCATTTACAATTACAAATATATAAGTATCCAGATACATCCATCCATCCATAGATATGTATATTTATGATTGTAAGTGGTACTATTCTCTCTTGTATTTTCTAGTTGGTTATTGTTGGTTAGAGGAATGCTGTTATCTTTTTAAAGTTTACTTTTTAATCCAGCAACTTTTCTTATTTGTTTTAACAATTTGCTGATTTTATTAGGTTTTCTCTGTAGAAATACATGCAAATATGGAGAGTTTTATCTCTTCACTTCCAAATCTTAGGCTTTTAAAATTTTTTATAACACCAACTTGGACCTCCAAAACTGTATTAAACTGGAGCGGTCATAGTGAGTTTTTTTTCTTTTTTAATCTTAGTGGAAACCATGTAACATTTTTTCATTAAGTATGATGCTTGCTGTAGTTGTTTAATATATAGTTTTCATCTAGTTTCTGAGTTTTTAATAATAAAATAGATATTAAACATTATTAAATATATTTTTATGCATCTATGAAAACATAAATACATAATTTTTCTACTCAGTACTTTAGTGTAGTGAAATAAAGTGATAGATTTTTTATGTTGAACCGTTTGCATATCTGAGAAAAACCTTACTTAATCACAATACATTTTTGGATATGATTTGATTTGTTTAAATAATACTTTATTGAAAATTGTTATTTCTATATTGATATGTAAAATAGACCTATTATTTTCTATTCTTTTCTGTTTTGGAATCATTCTAGGACCACAAAATGAATTGGTAAATTTTCTATTTTTTAATTTCTAGAATTACTTGCATTAAATATCTGTTGAAACTTTTATAAATTCACCTGTAAAACTCTTCGTACTTTGTACTCATTTGGACAGTGATATTTTATTTCCACTTATTTAGTATTAGTGTCTATGCACATTTTCTATTTCTGTCTTCACCTGTTTTGTGCTTGCTGGTTTACAAGTATTTATAATATTCCTTTGTCATTCTGATATTCTTTGATGTATCTGAAAGATTTTCCATTTTTTTCTGTGTTTTGTTTATTTACACCTTCTTTATTTTTTCTTGATCATTGTTGCCAAAGGCTTGTCTGCTTTCTTTATCTTTTTCAAAAACTCAGTTTTTGGTTTCATTTGTCTTTATTTAATGTATTTCTGCTCTTTTTAAAATTTTTTTTGCTTTTGGACTTGCTCTGTTGTTCTTTATCCAACTATTTGAGCTTAAAACTTAGATCATTTGTTCATTTTGATTAATGTATATCAAACCATACATTTACTTCCAAGTATTGCTTTAGCTATCCCTCAACTAGTATTTTCTGTGAAGTTTATTTCTAACTATTATGCAATTTCTTTTAACATTTGCCTACCAAAGCAAAATTTATTTAGTAGTGTGTTATATAATTTTCATATCTATGAGATCTTTCTATAAATATCCTTTTATTATTATTATTTCATTTTTTTTGAGGAAGGTTAGCCCTGAGCTAACATCTGCCAGCAATCCTCCTCTTTCTGCTGAGGAAGACTGGCCTTGAGCCAACATCTGTGCCAATCTTCTATTTAATGTGGGACGCCCACCACAGCATGGCTCAACAAGTGGCACACAGGTCCACACCCGGGACTCGAACTGGTGAACCCCAGGCCACCAAAGCAGAGCGCGTGAACTTAACCACTGTGCCATCAGGATGGTCCCTATTGTTATTTCATTTTTATGTTCAGAGAACATCATCTAAAAGATATGGGGTTTTGGGAGAAATATAGAGGCTTTCTTATGGGCCTAGTGCATGGTCAATTTTTGAGTGTTCTGTGTGTTTCTGAAAAGAATGTTTAACTTCTGCGTTTTGGATATGTAGTTCCCATATCTCTTGGACTGAAGTAAATCAGTATCTAAATTTTATATAAATTTATACTGATCTTTTTGTCTGCTAAATCCTTCAGTTTTTCAGAGATGGGTGTTAAAATCTCTAGAAATTACTGATGTATTGCTCCATGTAATGTTGTCAGTTTTTTAATTTATGTATTTGGAGGCTATATTGTAGAATGAAAATGTGCCTTGGATCATTATACTTCTATTTTTAGCTGCACTTAGTTTTCTTCTTTATCTCTTAGTCATTTCTTTCAGAGAATTCTATTTTCTTTCTCACTACAATTGTAATTCTAGCTTTCTTTTCATTCATTGTTATATCTTTTTCCTTCCCTTTATTTTCAATCTTCAGTCTTTCATTTCACTTCATAGGTAATTTGGTAGGTCTGATTTTATAATCTGAGATTGATGCATTTAACCCATTTATATTTATTGTAATTATCATGACAAGCCTCTTTTTGCCATTTAATTTCATATGTTTTATTTATTTAACTTTATTTTTGCTTCCTTTTTATATTTTTATTTTTCATTGTATATATTGGATTTTCTTATGCTATTTTGAAAATTTTCTTTTTCAAGTGGTTAACCTGATTATTGAAATTCTTATGTACATTTATGTTTTGCTAACCAATTTCAAAACTTTCCAGTAATAATATCCATTCCCTAATAAGACAAGTATTAATTATGCTCTCAGCTCTCTGCACGTCTTTACTCTCTTCCTCCATCTCTTGCCAAGATCATATTGTAGAGTTTAAGACCAGGTTTTTATGGATATTCTTATGCTTTTCTCTATTTTTGTGAAATCTCCATGGATCTCCTACCATGATGGTAGAGGGACACAACATCTCTGTTACTTTGCTACTTTTAAAGAACTATTTGAATTTCCCTCTATTTGAACTATTTGAATTTTAAAGAACTATATGAATTTTCCCATAATTTGCATTCTAATTTTTCTTTCCAATTCCTGGATTCTAGAAATTGATGTTATTATCAATGCCAATTAGTGATTGAGTTTGGGTAACAGTTTAAACTGTTTACAATTTCTTAGCTATTAGGATTTCATGCCTCTGTGAGATCATAAAGTGACATATTAGAGATAGAAAAGAAAGAAAAATTCCTCAGTAAAATTTCAATGCTCTATTTTCTGTATTAAATGGAAACTAGGGGACCAAGAGAGTTATGCTAGGTCTCCTGGCTTTGCTTACTTCCTTCTGAGTAAAATCGTTAACGCTGTCTATGTGCCAGATAGATAAGGTCCAGATCGACTGTGTCTCAGTCTATGAAGTTGTAGAGGTATTTGAATCCACTAAATACTTGTGCCAAGAAGGTGATATTTTTGCTAAAAATGTATTGTATCCTTTTGTGAAGTAAGCTGCTTTTGTTTTCTCAGCTTTGAGTTAATCGGGGAAGGAGGGGGAATACAGAGGAACTCTCAAAGTGAATTCTTTGAGGAGGTAGCCATGCTGATACTGAAGTGACTGAGACACAAAAAGGGCCATTGGGGAAGTGTGGTCTTCATTTATACTTATAGGAATGTTGGACAACAGTGAAAAAGTGGGGGAATTTTTGCAGAGGATGGAGGAATCTGTCTGACTCTTGAAATAATACCAAGTCACTTAAAATATGTTTACTTTGAGGTATTTTTGTCACTTTCCTTTGAAAAATTTTATCTTTGGTCTCTTTCCTCCTTACATTTTCTTAGTAAATTCTTAGCTTTTCTGTATTTTGTTAATATAAATAATTTAAATACAGCTAGAGTTTCATTGTTCTAGTTTTAAGCTAAATGTTTGACTATTATAACCAAGAATTACTATTTCAATAAGGGGATACTAGGGTAGAAGTTTATTGATGTGAAGTATTTTCTTCTTTGATAACTTTCCGATAGAAATGAATGAGAAAAAAGTGATGTATAAAATACCAACGACCAGAAGTAGGGCTCCTATGAAGGCTACAAATGGGATAATTAGGCTGTGAATAACCAAGACTTGAGGATGCAAGAAAATTTTCTAATGCTCAGTGTGTTACTAGCACATAAACAGTCCTTTTAAGAAACTATGGTAGTTTCAAAATCTGTATTTTTACTTTATTTATGAATTTGTTTTTTAGGTGTATCAAGCCTGAAGAGAAGTCTCTTGGTGTAGGATTACATACATTTTGCACAAGAGTATTTGGTAAAAAGTTATTTTTCCCAACATCGTATCAGACTATTATCAAATTCTAAGTAAATGAAACCACTCTTTCAGAGTGACAGTCTAGCAAATATTCCTTCTGCTTGTAAACGGCACTTTGTAATTAGTTTGAGAATGAAGTACAAGAAGAGATGGAGAACTTCCCTCTTTTACTTGAAAAAGACCCATCTCACCTTAATTCCACTTTTCGTCTATTATAAGATTTGAAAAGGAAATGAACGGGAAATGCTTTGTTAAAATAAAATGTACATGTGATTGGCCCAAAACATTGCCAAAAAAATATCATCATTAGTTCAATGTTTTTTCCTAGCAATAATTTTTGGGTTGCATTTATCCATCAGATTAGTTATCCTCTATAATCTAGAAACTTTACAGTAAAACTAACTTCTGGTTTCTAAAAATAAAATTTAAAGCATTAGATTTATATTTTGTGAAACTTTATTCATTCTACTGAGAAAATTGAAATGTTTCCAAACAAAACCATGTTCTTAATTCTTACCTTGTTGATGGATTTTTTCCTTTCCTTTTCGTTGTAGCTGGGATTCCTGCACCTATATATTTTGGAGCTTTAGTGGACTCCACATGTTTACATTGGGGAACTTTGAAATGTGGTGAGTCAGGGGCATGCAGGATATATGATTCCACCAACTTCAGGTAAAGATAATAATGTTTTAAAAAATTGCTTTCTAAGCGTAGTCTGTGCAAAAAAATGGCACCATTTCTGTCTAACAATTTCTTTATCAAGTGACTAGATTACTTTTGGCTTTGTTTCCAAAAGAGATACTAATACTGTATCTCCATTCACTATTTATATACTAGAATTTTATTTCCTCAATATTTTCAAACTACTTAATAAATATAAGCATGAAGACTTCCTTAACCTAGCTTTGCAAAATGTTGTTAAATTGATTGCCATCAGTACATTGAAAGTAATAGCTATACATAAGCTACCTATCTAAATTGCATTACTCTCTAAAGTATCTCCCTTTTTTCCTGCATCATCTCAGCATCTTACTAGACTGAATTCTTACTTCCTTTCACCATCCACCTCCGATCTTCAAAATTATATTTGTTCTCCCACATTAAATGTCACTGACACAATATTCTTCATGTCTCTTAAAGGCTTACTTTTTCTTAATATAGATCTGACTTTGAACAAAACTCATTTGGTAATCATAACCTGTTTTTGAACAAAACTTGTCCATTTTTCTCTTTCTATCTTCATGTTCTTTTTCATTAGGAGACCTGAATTTTGTTTAAATTTGTATTAACTTGTCATGGGGCAATAAGAAAAAACTCTTTCATTTACTAAAGAACAATTTAATATTGCAGGGGCTGGCCCGGTGGCATAGTGGTTATGTTTGCATGCTCCACTTTGTTGGCCTAGGGTTCATGGGTTTGGATCCTGGGTGTGGACCTACACACCACTCATCAAGCCATGCTGTGGTGGTGTCCTTCATAAAAACTAGAGGAAGATTGGCACAGATGTTAGCTCAAGGACAATCTCCCTCAAGCAAAAACGGATCAGCAATGGATGTTAGCTTGGGCCAATCTTCTTCACCAAAAAAACAAAAACAAAAACAAACCCAATTTAGCATTGTTTAAAACATTCTAAAGTCTTATCTTGATTATTAAAAAGATATATATCCAGAACTTTGAAGAGAGCAGACAACATAAGAGTCATGTTTTCATCAGCTCCTCTTTCCCCTAAAGTTTCACAGGGGCAATGTGAAGGTAGGACCAGGAACATATGTATGTGCAGTGGATTTGCATCACAGTAGAACAATCCTGAGGACCACTAGTGTAGGTTGGCCTCATCCTGCTGCTTGAATTCCTGCTGATAATAGCCTTAATTAAATACTAGTCCAGGCAAAATAATTATATTTGGTACCATCCTCTGTCAGTAAGATTAATTAGAGTGGTTGATGAAGTGTACTCATGAGAAAATTCACTGGAAGCTAATATAGTGTAGAAACAAGAGGTTGATATTGTTGGTAGACAATTCTCCATGGGTTCCTTGAACTTCTACATATCTTGTTAGCAGAACCTTCTTTTCTGGACTATCTTTTCAAAGGACTGTTTGAATAGTAAATGACCTTGGAAGATCTAGATGATGTTTCCCTCTGGTGCAGAGTTTGCTGTCCAGGATGATATCCCTCTGGGGTAAAGGTTGGCAAACTTGCTTGCAATCCATTTAAAAGACTGAGATTTTCTAAACTCAAGATTTCTTAGCTGTGACCTAAACACACTGTGTGCACAACAGCTACCTGGGTCTTCCTCTGTGTCACCCCTTTGGGACTTGAGGGTTAAGGAAAACCAACCTGAACATGAAGCTTGTGCTGATTGCTGTACTGTGAGTAAAAAAACTCATTTATCTCTGACCCAGGAGTCTTGTATCTTCTATCAGCATCCATTCAACTATGACAGACTAACCTGTTAGCTTAAAATCCAGGTAAAATCTAGGACCCTTTTACCATTCTTGAGAATGAAAATACTGATTAACTTTAAATTTTGCCAAAAATGTAAGGATGGTTACTTACATTTATTCCAATCTAATAGAAAGGGAGAAAAGAATTATGGAAAATTCAGTGGAAGTAAGAAATAGGAAAATAACAGCACACAAAATAAGTTGAAAAAATAAGCCTAAATATATCAAGTTTCACAATAAATGTAAACCAATTAAACTTACCTCTTAAAAGACAGTGACTTTCATATTGGAGCTTTCAAAATTTCAGCTATGTGTTGTTTACAAGAGACAGACTAAAAAATATAATGCAAAGAAAGGTCGAAGATAAAGGTCAGAAAAGATATACCGGGCAGGTATTAAATCAAGCTTCTGTGGTTATATTAATGATTGTAAGACAAGCTAGAATTTAAAGAGAAAAGGATTAAGAGTTAAAGAAGGATATTACTTATTAATAAAAGAAACACTTTACCAAGAATATATAACAATCATGAACCCATATAAATTTATCAACATAACCTAAAATATATATAACAAAAATTCACAAAATTATGAGAAGTCTACAGAGTGGAAAATTTCAGCACACTTCCCTAACAAATATAAAATACAGACAAAAGAATTAGTGAGGATACAGAAAATTTGAACCACCAAATTGTAAAAGAGTTATCTAATAGATGTATAGCAATTTTTTTTTAACACAACCAACAGAATATATATTCTTCTCCAGCCTATAATAAACATTTATAACAATTGGCCAGGCCGTATGCCACAAAGAAAGCTTTAAAAAATGCAAAGTGTTAATACCATATAACCTATTTCATGTCCACAATGCAATGGAATTAGGAATCTATGATAAAATATTGCCCCAGCCACACATGTTTGGAATTACCCATGGATCAAAGAATAAATTATAGTAAAAATAATTAAGTAACTAGAACCTGGTGTTAATGAAAGCACTGAGTAGGAAAACTTATGAGACGAAGCCAAACTAGTACTCAAAGGAATATTTAGAACTTTAAATGTATACATGTTTTTTTAAAAGACTGAAAATTTACAAACTGAGAATTTAGAAAAAGAACAACATAGTGACTTCAAATAAAGTAGAACAATCTGATGAATGATTCAATAAGTTACATATTGATTTATTTTCTATCTCCAACAAGAACAATAGATATGATCCATTTTTAAAATTCCAAAGGGCCATTTCTAGTTTCAAAGACAATATGAACATCATCCTGGACATCCAGTTTTCCTGAACTAGGAATTGAACAAAACCAATGGAGAAACAAAGCTGAATTCAAAGGCTGAATGCAAAGGCTTTAAGCCTAGAAACGGGCAGTGGTTTCTGGGATATCAGCTTCCAAAGGGAAAATACAGTACTCATAGGTTCAGATTCAATGCTTTAGTCTTAATGTGGAGTAGAACACCCTTAGACTGGGTTGAGTAGTGTCTCTCAAAATTTCATGTCCACCTATAACCTCAGAATAGTTCTTTATTTTGGAGTAGGATCTTTGCAAATGGAATTAGTTAAATTAAGCTAAAATGAGGTCATACTGGATTAGAATGGGCCCCAAATCCAATCATTGGTGTCCTTATAAGAAGAGGCAAGGAGACCTAGAAGACACAGACATGCAGGGAGAAAGCCACGTGGTGATAGAAAGAGAGATCGCAGTGACGCATCTGCAAACCAAGGAATGCTAAGGATTGCTGAAAATTACCAGCAGCTAGGAAGAATTGAGGAGGGATTCTTTCCTGGAGCCTTCAGAGGAAGAGTGGCCCTGCCAACACCTTGATGTCAGATTTCTAGGCTCCAGGACTGTGAGAGAATGTATTTCTTTTGTGTTAAGCCTTCAAATTTGTGGTGGATTGTAGGAAACTAATACAAATCTCATTGTAAAAGAGATTTAAAAAATGTTTTGCACATCATTGCTGTGTTAGTAAGGAGGGAATAAGACACAGACATATCCAAGAACTAGACCAAGTGATCTGCCCCCTCTGTGACTATTCCCAGTGTCACTATGAAAAATCACCCTTATAAGATAAGAACTAGATCTGGCCAAAGGGCCTGGGGGAACAGGGAAAAGTGAGGCAAAATTATTAGATTTAGAGGAACAAATATACAGAGCAAGAGAAGAAAACCAAAACAACTAACAACAAAAACAAGACACTCTGCAAACTAAAACTTAACAGCACATGAACAAATCCAATGGTAAAAAAAGATAAGCACATAAATTACCAATTGAGCTATGACTTCATTTCAAATTAAACTTAATTTAATGTAAGAGTCTAACAAGACTTTACAATAAGTATGCTTAATTAGCTCAATAGAATTAAAAATAGTAAATGAATGACATGATATCTATTAAAAATGAACAAGAAATTATGAAAAAAATTCAGAAATAAGAATATCAAAAAGAACTCTTGGAAATATTAGAGATTAAATGTATAGCATTGAGATAATAAAAGGATCCTAAATATGTAATAAATTTCAAGTCAACATAGTTCAAAAGAGAGTTGGTGAACTGGAAGAGAGTACAGAACAATTTATCTAGAATGTAAATCAATGATCTGAACTGATTAAACAGAAATGAACTGGGTCAGCCCTGGTGGCCTAGTGGTTAAGTTCTGCATGCTCAGCCTCAGCAGCCTGGTTTCAGACCTACACCACTTTTCTGTCAGTGTCCGTGCTGTGGCAGTGGCTCACATACAAAAAGAGGAAGACAGGCAGTGGATGTTAGCTCAGGGTTAATTTTCCACAGCAAAAAAAAAGAAAGAAAGAAAGAAAGAAAGAAAAGAAATGAACTACCTAAGTAATACTAAAGACCAAGTAACAAAACATATAACTCAGAAAATTTCTAGAAAAGAAAATGGAGGAAATGGCAGAGATAAATTAAAGAATTAATGCCTCAGAATTTCCTCAAACTTGAGACAGACATGAATTTTCAGATCAAAAGTGTGCTTCAAATGCCTCCTAGAATAAATATGAATACATATATCAGAATAAAATGAAAAACCTTCAAGGTAAAGAAAAAAAACGTTCAAGTTACCCACAGAAATAAACGGGTGGCTTACCCAGGAATGACAATTAGGTCAATAGTAGATAGGTCATCGGCAACACTGGATCCTAATATCTGTATAATCCTTGTTGCTTTGGGTTTGGGTTGAAACAAAAACACAGACCATAGAGCAAGAAATGGAAAATGTGACTACATATAAAACAAATAGGGAGCATGAGGAGCTCTCATTCATTGCTGGTAATGAATAAAGACTATTGAAGAGCACTTTTGGACAATATCTGCTAAGTTGCATACTCCAATACCCTTAGACATGTTTTAGAGGAACTCTTGCTCACATGTAAAAGGAGGTTTGTTGCAATATTGTTAATATTAGAAAAAATTTGAACAGCACAAGTGTCCAAAAAGAAACTGTATTAGTAAGTTGTGGTGTGTTCACACATTGGAATGTGGTGCAATATTTAAAAATAAGTGAAATAGAACTACATGTATAAACACAGTCTTAAAATGGTGGGCTAATACAGAAATTTTCAGAATAAAACATAGTATTATACCAATTATTTAAAATGTAAAAACATATAGTTGTATATATTATTAAGGTATTCATACACACTTTCTAAAATTTCAAAAATAAACTACAAATAGAAGTCATAAAATTCAACATAGTGTTAGATCTGGGATGGGTTGGAAGGTAATAGGATCATAATGGTGCACATAGGACTTAGATGTATTAGTATCTTCTTCTAAATTGGTCTGAAACAAAAATGCCAAATTTTAATCATTTAAAAAACTTAGATGGGGAGTACAAACATGTTTGTTAAAATTTTTTTTCCTGTATTCTTGAAATGTTTCATGATAAGAGACAATTTTAGAAGTAGGAAGATGAAACTAAAAAGCAGAAATTAATAAATACACTATAAATTATAAAGGTAATCAAAAAAATGAAAAGCTGTGTTTTTGAGAAGATTAAAATATAATAATAACAATATAGTCAAGCACTTCATAGCAATGTTTCAGTCAATGATTGACCACTTAGAGGATGATGGTCCCATAATATTAGTACCAAAAAGCCTGGGTGTCTAGTGGGCCACACCATCTAGGTTTGTTTAAGTACACCCTGTGATGTTTGCACAATAAGGAAATTGCCTAAAGACGCAGTTCTCAGGATGCATCCCCGTCGTTAAGTGATGCATGACTGTAATCTGGAAAAGCCAGTCAAGAAAGGAGGCACTTATAAACACTATTAAGAATGAAAAAGGGAACACAGTACAGATACTTAGGGATTCTAGATATAACAATTTGGAAACATTAAACAGTTTTCTGGACAAATATATATTACCAAATTTTAATACATAGAAAACATGAATTTTTTAAACTATTTAAAAATATGTATCAGTCAAAAATTCTCATCTTCCAAAGGCACGAAGTCTGGATGATTTTAAAGTGAGTTTTACAAACCTTCAATGAACTGACGATTCCTGTATTATACAAATTATTCCAAGAAATGGAACAAGAGGGAAAATGTCCCAATTCATTTTACAAAGCTAGTACAATCTTGATATTCGCATTAGACAAGTTCAATACAAGGGAAAAAGTATAGGCTGATTTCACTTATAAATGTACAGGCAAAAATTCTAAATAAAAAATTAACAAATTGAATTCAATAATGTATAAAAACTTAAGATTTATTTTAGGCATGCAAATTTGGTGCAATGTCAGAACAATCTATTAATGTAATACACCCTGTTAACACAATAAAGGGGGAAAAATCTTGGATATTTTGCTAACTATATGCAGGAAAATGATTTGGTGATATTTTATGCAGGTATAACTAAAGCTTTGAACAAACTCAGAAGAGAAGAGAAGAGGACTTGTTTCACTTGATTAATGTCATCTAAAAACCCACAAGAATAAATATCATAGTTAAAGATGGTTATTTGGAAGCCTTTGTATTAAATACTGGAATAAAACTGCTATCACTGTCAGCATTAAACTTAAGTTCCAGGTTCTCTTCAATGTAAAAATAACATAAAAATAGTCACAAAAGATTAGAAAAGAAGGAAACAAATTTGGGTTTTCTGAATGAAAAAATTCCAAAAAAAATTGTAACGAATTTTAGAATTAATAAGTGAGTTCAGCAAAGTTGCTTATATAAGATCAACAGGTGAAACAATTAGCTGTTGTTCTTATGGGAATAAAATATTAATAATTAAAGATATGCAAAACTAATTTGTACCCACCACGCTGTCTATGTAAGATTTAATATATTTTAACATTTTTTTTGCTAGGTATATTTACCTTGGATTGCCAGCAGCGCTAAGAGGCTCAAGCTATATTCCAGCCTTTTTGATCTTGGCTATTTTGAGGAAGCGTCGCCTACCTGGGGAAGAAGCCTCTTCAGGAACTGTGCTTGTAGAGGCGAAGGTTACGGGGAAGGAAAATGAGTGCAAAGATAGGCACCAAAATTCCAAAGTTTCAAATAATGATGAATGGAAAACTAAACTGTAAGGCTCTATTTTCTCATGCTTCTCAGAGTTGGAGAACACACTACAACTTGTCTTTAAAATCAATAGAGGTACTACAGGTAACTTTTTTCTTGTCTTTAAGAACCTCAAACAGTTTTTCTACTCAAGATAAAAAAAAGTTTCAGTGATGGTATTTCTGAGGCATCAATGATCTCAATGTCCCTTGAGATCTGCCTCAGAGGGACATTATAACAACTCTCAAACCAGGATATTAAAGACAGCTTTATTTTTATGGGAAAACAGCCATTTCTCTTTTAACTCATGCTAAATAAGGGTATATTTCCCACATCTCCTTTTCCAAATGATTCCAAAACTTTTCTATTATGAAAATCTATTTAATTCCATTGAATTTCTCCTTTGATATTGGGGTTATTTAGAGACAAAATTCTCATCCTGCTTATGTGAACATTTAAGTATTTTATTCAAATTTATCACTTCCAGGTGAAAGAAGCCTACGTGTTCTATTCTATTTAGGAATTGTTATTTAACTCTTCCTATTCATTCCAGACATGACTGTTTCAAAATAGATTGCTCATTGATATGCCATCACTTGCTCTCAGTTCTTTCCCTGCTTTATTACTCATGTCATATATTTGCTCATTTTGTTCAGAGTACTGACAAACTTAATTAGGTTATTAAAAATCATGTAGAAAAGATCGTTGGAATTTTTTTTCAGCAATTCAAACCTGGCGACTAAGCTCTCTCTTAAAAACAAGTGTCCGGCCCGGTGGCATGGTGGTTAGGTTTGCGCACTCTACTTTGGCAGCCCGAGGCTCCTGGGCATGGACCTACACACTGCTCATCAAGCCACATTGTGATGGCATTCCACATATAAAATAGAGGAAGACTGGCACAAATGTTAGCTCAGGGCCAATCATCCTCACCAAAAATAAATAAATAAATAAATAAGTAAAAACAAGTGTCTGAGTCAAAGGATGAAAGGATAATATTAAAAAAAATTGGTCCTTAGAGGCTGTTTTTAATATTTATGCCTTCCGTGGTGTCCCAAGTTAGAAGACAAGCACTAATTTTCCATAAATCATCTCAAAGGGTGAAGCTTTTAAAAAGTAGCTTCCATTATGAAACTGAAGTTAATAAAATTCAGGATGCACATTTAAAACTAAATCTACTCATTTGTTATTTTGTAGCTTATGTATGCAATAAAAGAATGAAAGGGTTTTAGAGGTACAAGAGGCCTTACAGATAATCTGGAATTTGTGGTTTAAGAGAGTAGGATGAACAGCCATGTTTATCTACTCCTTATTCTCTCTCTTTATTCTCTCCACTGGAATGACAGTCAATACCTAAAAAAAATTACATAAATCCCTAACGATGAGGACAATGCAAGAAGGGAGGATGGGAGAAGTGAGTGTCAATATACTACAGTTATTTATATGTAACATAAATGCAATGGGAATGTCTACAGGGTAGTACATAGCGGAATAAGCTGTAATCGAGAATGCACCTAGAAGGAGTCTGGAATGTAGGTTGGAGTCTCTGAGTTGCAAGTTCAATGACTACAAGTTGGTGGCTGGATGAAAATAGGCAAGGTACCTGAAGGACTGTCTACAGATCTTTCGCTGACAAACATGATTTCCTGATGATAGGATGGGTCATATGAAAAGAAAGCAACTGAGGTGAGGAAGACTGGGTAGAACAGGTTTGAGGAGAAGGATTAAGAATTAAGTTTTGGACTCATGAATTGTGAGACTTCATTTCTGGATACACTAAAAATAACCATGCTTCAAGACAGGACTAGTGTTGAAACACAAGAAAGGAGCTAACATTGTTGGAAATGATGAGTGTAACTCAGGGTAGCTATGACTGCAGTAGTGAGCTACAGTTGAGTGTTAGGGTCTGATGACGTGAAATTTGGAGCTGCTTCATTTGAGGAGGAGGAAGTAGGGAGAATGGTGTGAAAGCTAAAAGAAGGAGTGAGGTCTTACTCTATATCCAGACAGTTGTGAGAAAAAGTCAACAGCTACCACATAAGAAGATTTTGGGGAAGCATCTCCTCAGGAGAAACCCAGATTTTGGGTAGAGTGCAGCGGTGAAGAGAACACTCGTTTATGCGTTTGAGAATACAGAGGGAAAAGGTGATAATGGACTGTGAGTTCTAGAGGACAAAGTGAAAGTGGGCAGATTTCAGGAATTTGAGTCTGAAAGAAAAAGTAAATAATAGGAGGTGTGTGGGAATTAGACTTATGGTGATTAGAAAAAGGAGAATGAAAGATAGCTTGAAATTCTAGGGCATTTTAGGTGACCGACATAAGGAGATTAGCCCTGATGGATTTCAGGGCAGATGGTGTTGGTGAGACTGTGAGTGTCAACAATAGGAGGGGTCATGACTGGGCTCCCTCAGGACCCCTTGTCGTGAAGGCAAACCGGAGAAGCAGAATCTTACTTGAGTACCTGAAGTTCCTGCTTGAATTCTGTTGATGGATTTAAGATGATCAGAGAAAGCTGAGTGTCACTCTGCACAACTGACCCACTTGAGTTCCCTCCATGGAGCGTAGCAGGGCCAGAGAGACATAGGTTTGGATCCAGTCCTCTTATTGCCTCCTGGGGTAGTTGATATTTTACTCTTAAGCATAGGCGTCTTTCTTGACACTTCTTGGTGAAGGAAAGAAGACCAGAGAAAGTGGGCGTTGGAGTGCTTTGTGATCCATGACCTCTGTTGTTGGAGTCCATGTGGCCTGGGGAGGTCAGTTCTTATTCTGGGAACTTCTGCTTCCTCATGACAGGGTACAGGTAATAATGGCATAGCAGACAGAAGTGAAGGAGAGAAACAGGAAAAACACAGGCAGTGGGAAGTCTAGGGTCACTAATTTTCTATTCAATATTGTAGGGAGTCTAAGTTAATGGAAATAGAAATAGTGATTTAACATTTTTTTGATAATTCTAATTATAACCAATCTTTACAGGAACAAAAAATAAGAACTTAAGAAAACACAAACACTGCAAAAAGATGTATAAGAGGAAGCAGAGGGAATAATCATTCTTCATATTTTATGGCGCGGAGTTAAAATACATGTTAAACTTGATAAATTAAGATAAAATTGGCATACATATGTTATTAGAACTGTTTACAAATGTTGCTTCAGCAGCAGTGGGCCATCCTGAGGAACAGCAAAGAACAATACATTTGTCCTTCATTTTAGTTCCTTTGGCACTGACTTTTTTCTCCCTCTGCACATAAAACATGATTAACAAAATAGTATTTCATAAAGAACAACACATTCGCCAAAACGATAATAATAGTAAATTAAATAAGATAATGTATTTTACAGAAAGGGAAGAAACTGAGTCCTCCAATTATAAGTTGTTGAGACTCTCCAGTGGGTGTTTATTGAACAAGTAATTGTTTTCTCATTTCTATATTTGGTTCTGGAAGATATGCGTGTCAGTATGTGTACGTGAAGGGGGTGGAACTAAGTTGTAGGCTGTAGAATTCAAGTAAAATTCAAGGTGGTGTCATTTTATTAGAGTGAATAAACATACACAGAAAACAATTATAGAACAACAAATAACAGTACGATGTAATTTCAACCACTATGGATATATGGCGAGTGACTAAGTAAACAGGGTTTTGTGCATAAGCTTCCCATTCAGGTCTTGGTGGGAAATGATGACTCCAGATTGATGAAGGAAAAGAAAAAAATCCAGTGCTGACTGAGGGAATAACAGAAACAAATGTAAGAATGCTTCCTTTACCGCCAGCCACAGTTACAGCGATTAGTTTTTTTTAATTGAAATATAATTGACGTATAATATCCTATTAGTTTCAGGTGTACATAATAGTGACTCAATATTTAGATACATTGTGAAATGATCACCACGATAAGTCTAGTTACCATCTGTCATCATACAATGTTATTACAATATTATTGACTATATTCCCTATTCTGTACATTACATCCCCATAATTTGCTTATTTTAGGACTGGAAGTTTGTACCACTTAATCCTCTTCACCAATTTTGCTCACCCAACCCCCCCACCCCTCTCTCCTCTGGTAACCACTAGTTTGTTTTCTGTTTATGTTCTGTTTTGTTTGTTTTGTTTTTTGGATTTCACATATAACTGAAGTCATACAGTTTTTGTCTTTCTCTGTCTGACTTATTTCACTTAGCATAATACCTTCTAGGTTCATCCATGTTGTAGCAAATGCCATACTTTTTTATGTTGAGTAACATTCCATTGTGTATATATATACCACATCTTCTGTATTCACTTATCTATCAATGGGCACTTAGGTTGTTTCCATATCTTAGCTATTGTAAATAATGCTGCAGTGAACATAGGGGTGCATATATCTCTTCAAATTAGTGTTTTCATTTTATTCTGATGAATGCCCAGAGGTAGAATTGCTGGATCGTATGGTAGTTTTATTTTTAATTTTTTGAGGAACCTCCATATTGTTTTCCATGGTGGCTGCACCTATTTACATTCCCACCAATGGTGTGTGACAGTGCCCTTTTCTCTATACCCTTGTCAACACTTATTTTTTGTCACGATTACAGTTTTGATTAATGAGATATTGGCAGAAGCTTGCTAACTGGGAAACTTTTTAAAAGACAAAGCTTTCTGAGAAGACATTTTTGCCCTTTTTCCTTCTTCCTTCCTGAACTGTGGATATTAGGCCTCAAGGAGCACAGCCATGTTGCAACCAAGAGGCAACAAGCCTCAGGATGAAAGACAACACGTGAAGGCTGGTGGAGCAGGAAGACAGCTGGAGTCTGGCTACGTGATACGGTGCTGAACACATGTGCTAGCAAGGACAGGGCTAAGCTCTGTGGGGTTTTAAGCTTATAAAATTTGAGAAAAGTGCCTATATAAGAAAAAATGCAAAATTATGAATACAAAATGAAGTTAAAAAGTGAATATTTACTTAGAATGAGAAAAAAATCACAAAAAATTCCATGTAATATGCTTTATGACACAATCATAATTTAGAAAACCTACTGCAAAAATTATAGTTAAATGGGCAATATGAAACGTGAAAAGCTTTCCTAGTCATGTTGGGAACGAGAACATAATGCCTGCTGTCACCATTTCTATTTAACACTAGACTGCAGATCCTAGCCAGGGAAACGGCAGAAGAAAAAGAATTAAAATCTGTAAGGATAAAAAAAAGAAATAATAAATAATAAAAATGCCTATGACTTGTTGTATATGCAGAAAATCCAAAAGTTACTGCAGATAAATTGTCAAAATTCGTAAGTGAATTTTATAAAGTTCACTGGATATGAGAGCAATACACAAAACCAGATGTCGATTTTGATATATCACTAGCAATTAGGAAATGACATTAGTAAAGCATACTATGTAGTATAGCATTAGAAAAACCTCACACTGAAATCCTAGGAATAAATCTCATAAGAGGTGCCTGAGACCTTTACCCCGCAAACTACAAAAGAGTATTCAGAGAAATTAAGACCTATATCATCATGTTCATTGATTGAAAGATTTAATATTGTAAGGATGTTGGTTCTCCCAAAGCTTATCTATAGGTTCAGTGAAATCTCAAACAAAGTCCCAGTACCTTTTCCAATGTGGAAATTGACAAGATTGTTTTGACTTTCACATGGAACTGTAATGGGCCAAAAATAACCAAAGCAATCTTGAAGAAGAATACAGTTGGAGAAGCCCACTGCC